TGTTCAACCGAATACCAGTGACGTCATGTCGCCAGCTGATGCCTTACGGCATTTCTTCGGTCCTAAAGGGCCCGTGAAAACCCACGACCATTGACGTGTTACAATCAGTCATATAGCAGTGACGTCGTTAGCTGACACCTTGTGGCCTTCAGTTGGCCCAAAAGCGCTGGTGAAACTCATGACCAGTGACGTCACACACTCAGGTGGTTCGGCACCTTTCATCCAGCACGCCAATGCTTGCAGTAGACGGGTACAAGGGTAAAAATGAAGCACGGCCAGTATTTATGAGCATACCAGTGACGTCACGCTATCCGGTAATACTTCGCCGACCATAACACACCGTGGCCGTGGGGCCTAAGTGCACTCGTATCAAGTGATAATTAGTGACATCACACATTCAGGTGATTCGGTTAAACATTTATTCGGCACAAAAATGCTGGCAACAGACAGGTACGAAAGGTAAAGATGAAATGGAGCCTGTTGCGCCTGATGTTTAATCGATACCAGTGACGACACATCGCCAGCTGATGCCTTACGGCATTCAGTGGACCCAAAAGAGCCTAAGAAACTCACGACCAGTGACGTCACATACCCAGCCGAATACCAGTGACATATCGCTAGCAAAAGTCTTATGGCCTTCAGTCGGTCCAAAAGAGCCCCGATCCCGATCGATGCAAAACCATTTTCAGTGACGTCACAATGTCAGCCGATGCCCCACAGCATTTCCCCAGAACAACAGTTGTCAAAACCGTGCAGCGTGCTCCTTCCTCCGTCGGCCCTACAGGTGCCACAGCAAAAAAAATACCGTCCAAGCGGTGTTCCTTATCTTCCGGCCGACGATGCTCTGCTGAGGGAAGAGCGTTTGGGTGCGGCTGAAGCTCTGAAATTAGCTCACCACTCAAGAGCATTTTTAGCCCCTTTAATACTCTGTAAAGGTGAAAAATGTTATTGAAATAAGGAAGTCTTGGTAATGGTTCAATCCTAGCGCACAATCCACGTCCGGTTGGCAGACATCAGACAGCAAATGCATGGAGATAGGAGAGGACAACGGGGAGTGAAACTGAAATATGCATATTCGCTGTATATGAGCGATTTTCGTAATTGGGTTGGCTAGGTGCTGGTGATACTAGACTGGCGTTTGATCTGTTTTTCAGCCATATATTTAGCATAAAGATGCAAGGCAGCTGATTCAAATTCCAAGTAGCAAAAATGCGCGTAGTTGATCATAAGTGTTGTCAGTGCCTGTGAGTGGTCTGAGAAGGGTGACATACCCTCCCTCCCCCCTTGCACCACACTTTTTTGTTTTGTTACAGACTGAGCTTCTCAAAAGGCAAAGCAATTTTTTTGTGTGCTCACTGTCATCTGCCTCCTTAAGACAGTCCTGGCGGCATCCCAAAACCACTTGTTTGTTGTACCTTAGGGCTGTCAGGTAATTTATATCACATAATAACATGACTTTTCAGAATAAGATCACTTGCATTATGTAACATATGCAAGTGATGTACTCACATTGTATGCCATTTGCAAATACTTCATGCCAATTACTTCTTCAAAGATTTGTGGAATCATATGTATGTTGTACTTGTCTTAAGAATATTTTTGGCATTTATTGCACCATGGTAAGATTTGTTTGGCTCTGCTGGTGATGCGTGACTATGTTTCTCTTATGCATTTCAATGTCACATTGCTCCTAAATCAGGGTGGGAAATTTAGTTTTTTTTTGCTGGTGGCGGAGTACAAAAATTTTTGTGGTCGGAGTACAAATTTGCCTGCAAGCAAAGGTCTGTCTAGTGTGGAATGAGCATCTGCACAATGGGCCTTGCTTGGAGTACATCACATACTGCCTTTAATGGTTCAACATTTTCCCAATGTTTTTCTGGCAAAAATTAGTGTCAGCATGCAATTTTGCATTTCCGTGGAACAGAGCACTTCTTGTGAGTGAGGGTGCCACACTGATCCCATCCATATCTCTGTAGTGCTACTAGCTCACCTATACATGCAAAGATTGCTTAATGGTACATGTTAATAAGAAATATACAGTTGAGAGGTTAACAACAAAACTTTATACATATGCATTCACAGGTGCATCATACAAAGCTCAGTTACTTATCATTATCTATCTACATGCAAACTTACACAATATCGAAATGATAAATCAGGTGCATCCTCTGCTTACTGACAAACTAAGTTGCGGACAACCACTGTGCATCACACCCTGGTTTTTTAATGAGTCTTAGGCAGATGCAACTGTCTATGAAAGCCTTATGTATGTGACATCACTAACATGTTGTCCTTTTGGCCTTTACATAATTAATATAAACATACCAAAAGTGTTCCTCTTCCTATCCTTCTCTTTCTGCTCTTCTCCTCTTTCAGTTCCTCACCTTCTCTTTCTGTCACTTTTCTCCTTCCACTCCTCCTCCACTTCTGCTCCTCCTCTCTTCCTGCACCTCCTGTTATCCCTCTCCTCTTCTCCAAGTTCCCTATGATCTTATGTAGGGACAATTTTAATACTGCCACTGCAAGACCTTATGCCTGACAGCAAGGAACATAGCAGCATTGCCTCCTGTCAGGTTCCAGCAATTATAACCACAAGCTGAAAAGAGGCCAGCCTCATATTTGACCCCACATGGGAAACCCAAGCCTAGCATTTGTTGTATGTAGATACCTTAGTACCTACATACCTACCCACCATGCTGTAGGTACAGCAGGTTATACCAAGGTGATTCTGCACCAGCCTGCAGTGGTAAACATTTATAGATCAGTCCCCCGGTGTTTATTTACCTTTTTTGGAATGACTTAATAGCGGTCCAAAACTAAATCCCAAGTAATTTTAGAAGTGTGGATACATGCTGTGTGAAAACTGAAGACAACCAATTCCACTTTGTCTCACTGAATACCTCAAACTCGCAGCTACGATGCACATAATCCCAAGCATCTTCACTCACCTTCCGCCCTCCTCACTCCGACCACATCAAGACAAACAACCGAACCATGCACAGGAGTTCTGGCGCATTCACAGACATTGTGATGGCATTCTAGCACTCGTCAATGGGCAACCAAGTACAAGTACCACGGGTCGGTCCTGAAATGACAGGCCGTGATGAATAGTCTAAGAAAAAACATTTATGCAATTGCAGCAACACAAATTGTTAAGTTTGCGGTAGAAAAATCATAGAGCTTTTCAGTCATGCATTTAAAGTTGCTATTTTCCACCTACAAATATATATTATCTTCTGGTGGCGCAAGACAACGCCGAGATAATGCAGGACCTGTACTACAAATCTATAGATATTTCTCCTTCTAAGGCATATCATGCCATTTCAACACCCTCTGAGGAAGGCCCGTATCTGGACGATACCAAAACACGTCAATTTTTTAATTAAATTTGGCTAACTTTGCTAAAAACTTGCTGTTCTCCGGCTTGTACTCCGGCTTGTTCTCCCCGGGTCTCCCTATAGGCCCCATTGTGAGAAGGGCAACCAAGTACTGCGATTTTTTCCCACCGGGTTATGGACCATCTCTATCTTACAAGTATAGGTACTGGTTGAGCCTGGAGACGTGATACCCTTGTTAAATAAGTAAGATATCCTCGAATCTTCAAAGACCGGTACCTACCGATTTCTGAAAAAGTGGTTGACTTACTATCATTTATACGATAGTAATAAGTTTTGGAATGCTGCATGCCACAAACTCCCATTTTGGGAACGTAATTCCCGATGACATTTAAGAACCCAAAAGAAGCCGTTACCACCAAAAGTGCCGCCCACAAACGTGATATTTGGGTGTCATTTAATGTCATGATTCTATCTCAAAAGTGCCGATATGTGGTGTGTTTGAATGCTATGATTTTGAGTTTAATTGCAAGTTGGATGGTGATTGGTGGCTGGTATGGCAGGAGCAGGAATGAAACGAGCGCTTTGAAAAGGATGTGCAATGCTGGAATCTTTGGAAATTTTCCCACCAAACTTTTTGCAAGATGCACGTCCTTTGGTAAAATCGCTAACATGTTATCTTAATATGAGGTAAGTTAAGAGCATAGTTGGCATGCTGGACTTCTTGCTCGGCGAGTCTTTGAATGACCTAGTTGAAAAAGATGTGCCAGCGGTGATTTTGGTGCTGCTAGTGATTTCTGGTCGAACGAATATTGTTGTAGGTGTCTGTTGCGACGCGGACCTTCACTGCTCGAAAATGCACTCGTCAGTTGCAGGAGGCTGGGCTGCCGCTGGTTTCGGGTACGGGAGGCGATGGGTTCGTCGCGTGGTGGGAGCCAGAGCCGTGATACGTTTGTCCGTTTCTTGAAAGGTACCGGTAGGTGTGTGCGTCGTGGAAAATGCGGTCTTACTCAGGTGCGCCATATAACTCGTCAGTTGCAGGAGGCTGGGCTGCCGCTGGTTTCGGGTACGGGAGGCGATGGGTTCGTTGCGTGGTGGGAGCCAGAGCCGTGATATGTTTGTCCGTTTCTTGAAAGTTATCGGTGGGTGTGTGCGTCGTGGAGAATGCGGTCTTCTTACTTACTCAGGTGCGCCATATATTTTCCCCACAGGTAATGACATGCAAGGTATGTGGCAGCGGTAGGTACTTAAAACAAGCACATTTCATAGTTCAGTTTATTTCATTCCCACAGAAGTAACTCACATGGGTTGTCATCACCATTCAGGAGTTGCATAGGCTTGTACAAGTGCATCTAACCCATGTAATACAATGATGAAGGACATTAACATGAACGCCCTGGATTGGCCAGCTCCTGCAGGATTGCAGATGCTTGTCTCCATTTCTTGGTGCTCCATATGTTTGGTCCCTGGAAATCAGATAAAAGTTATAACTCACTTTATGAAAGCAAAGTTCATGCACCCTCCTGGCTATCAAGAAAGCAAAACTGTCTGCCTTGGTACTTATACTCAGGCTCATACATTTGCAATGGTGTCTGCTTTGTGGGGCGGCTGCAGTGTTTGTCTGGAGTACAAAAATTGTCATTCTTACCAGTCAAGAGCCTGGAGTACAAAATTTCCTGGTGTCACATCCACCAGAAAACGGAGGTTTTTCCCACACTGTCCTAAATACCTATCTATGATTAGGAAGATAGAACATGTAACATGTAAACATGCTGTCCTGGGATAATTGTGTACATCTAGCTTCTTGTAAAACTTTCCACCATTCCTTAAAGGACCCATGCAGACCAACTGCCAGGTCATTATCTCTGACTGTTCACTTCCCTGGCCCACTGTGCAATGATGTAGCTGCATTGTGTGATTTATTCACTTTTCATGTTACATAATATCACCTATGCAACTTTTATTTTGTATGTGCTTAAAATGGCAACCAAAATTGCAAACTGTTGGCCACTCTTTGGACTCTTTTTGTATTTGCATACAACATGATGTAGACTAACATATGCATTGTGGTAGTATAAATTGCATGGTAAGTGACTGGTGAAGGACTGTTGGCAGGTTGGTAGCTGTAGATTGTTGCATGTAAGATATGTTGGCTATATGCTGGCTCTGAGTGACATTGTGCTAGGTGATAACAACTGATATAACTGGCTTGTTAATGATAAGTGAGCTATTGTTGTGACTGTTTCTGCATGGTTTCTGCATGATATATGGCTTTGTTCTTCATAAATTTGCATTCTGGCATGACTTCACCGCAGCTCACCATGACAATGTGTCATGATACTCTGATGCACCTGTCAGTTATGGGTACACTCCCAATTGTATTACCACACTTGAAGTTTCATACACACACATATCAAACACCAGCCCACGCCAACAGCTGGCATCTATCACCTGCTGACCGCCTGGTATGCGTGATCCACGTGGATACAGTGGACTTGCTCCCGGCCAACATCGCCATCGCACAGAGAGCCCACGATGGCCCGAGCTGTTGCGCCATCGGGTCTAACTTGGGCAGACTGCGATCTTGGCCGCTTCTGACGACAGGATGTGAACGTGGGCTGCATACTGACTGATCAGCGCAACGGCGGTGTTCCAGTTTCACGGAGTGGTCCGGCGTGGCGTCGCCGCTGGCGACCTTCCAGGTAGGCAGCAAACTGGCCGGAACGGATACGGCGCTGGGTTTGCCGGAATCCACTAGGGCCGCTGCTGTGGCATGCCGTTTGGCGATCTGCTCGCCGTGCAGGCTTGGAGCTTGCTGCAACTGCCTGCGGCCCATCTTCACCATCTGGTCGGTTTCGAACTTGCGAAGAGCTGCGATGCACCTGGAATGCAGTGTAATGCTATGACGTTGCCTCATTTTCTCGGCCACCTTCTACTGTTGTGGCTTCTGTCGATTTTTGTTCTCCATATGGTCCATCGGACAAAGCAGCCAGTGGCCTAAACCTGAGGCAAAGGACGCAAGTGTGGGCGGCTCTCATCAAAGAAACGCGGCGGAAGCGTATTTGATTTGTCCAGAGCTACCTAATGTTTATATTTCTGTCCTGATTTTCATCATAGTAATTCCTTTCTAACTAATCTAATATCGTGTCGTCTCAACTCATCACTCGTGCTCGTGTGATCAATACCTTTGGACAGCACTCTATGGTAATCCCGGTAAGTATGATCTATGACTGGACTGAATGGATGTTTCTTGGATGGCACGTGTCATGCTTTCTACCAGGTTATGTTAAGTACACATGGAAGTTGGAATTACGGCAAACAATATATGTAGCTTAATGGTAGAGTTGGACACCATACACCGCTTAGAAAGGGTGCCGGGCCTTGTATAGAAAACATTATGAGGGGCGTGGAATCGAGTGGTAAATGTTGAACTGCTAATATTGTTTAATACAAGACGTTGCGAGCGGGTATACCAACGCAAGACAACGCACACATAGGAATGCATCACAGGAAATATGTGTACCAGCTGTTCACAAATCGACTGCAATTCCGTGACGGAAGAATATAATTGCTGGCTGATGTGCCGTAAAAAGCGGTTTCCACGTGTCCCTGGTGTTACAGAAGGGCTCTAGTAGTTTTTCTAACAACCTAAGGTGTTAGGGACGTGCGACGTTCTGGCGTTGCAGTGATGTTGCCGAGGGCAATGACGCCCATAGCAAGTGTCTCGCTGGCCTCCAGATATGCATATAGCTATTTGGCAGACATATAATCCTGGTGAAAATATTGGTCGTTCCCGTGCCTTAAACGGTATTATGACGAAACGGGGCGTTATTTCATAAGGACTGCATATCTGACGCTCATTTGGACTGTGAGCGCTGTGTGCAGGCACTAAGGAAACTGCATCATGTTTGAAAGCTACTTACTTGTCAACTCTCTTGTTGATCCTTCCGTTGAGATATTGGTACTTCAAGACCCGGTGGAAGGCCTCCACGTGCATGTCCGTGGAGATGCCTTCTGCGCTCCGGAGTCCCCGTGCCCACTTCCGGGTGCAGCCGACCCAGGTGTTTCGGAGGTATTCGCCGAAGGCCCGGGTGTTGGCGTGCGTCATCAGGCTGTCGGCCAGCTCGTGAGCAGCAGTCACCGCCTTCTCCTCCACCGGTTCGTGCATGATACCCCAGAGGGCATCATAAACTTCTTGACCAGCGACCAGATCCTAGAGGATGCGGACTGGAAAAAACACGGGTCTCAGAGCTTGGAAGGGAAGCAGGAAAATGGCTTGCAAATTATGCAACGGGACATTTGGGCATCACGGGCCAGAGTTAGTCTCGTTTTTTCCGGGCCAGACTGCTCTGCAGACACCCTGGTATTTCTGAAAGTCGACAAAGTAATGAAGAAAAAAGTGTCATCTGGCAGCACGCGTAAAACTATATCAGATTGCCATCATCGGGCATCGCATGACCTTTCATGGACCTGACCAAGCCAATGGGACAACATGTAAGTTTGTCTTCCTTTAGCTTCAAAACTATTCGCGTTTTTCCAAAGCGGAAAACGATTTCGTGCAGCCTGAAACACCACACAATGCACCAGTCCTGAGCCAGGAATGGCCGTAGCTTTTGACATTTTAAATCAGGAATCGTGAGGTCAAACCCTGCTTTTGGGTTATACGCCGTTTGATAATAAGCGGAACCGTCGAACAGTAAAGCAGTAAGCTGGACAGTGCTGGCCAAGTCTCATGTCTGGGTTACGGTTGCTCAAGATAGCATGTAGGATGTGCTTATGAAACGCAACGTCGTCGCCAGCGACATGTTTGCCATTTAACCTAAAATCACTCCTGGGCACGAAACAACTTCGGGGTGCCTGCCCACGGCGAGCTGTGGCGAGCCGTGAGATAGGGTTCTGGTGCCGGTTGGCGCTGAAGTATGACGCTGATTTTTGTCGTACCCTTCAAGGAGCAAGACGCCTTTCCACAGTTGAGTGCATCAAGTTATAGAAGGCCTGCAAGTGAAAGCGAAAGCAGCCAATCGCCTTTGGGAACCCTTTTGGAAGGCTACATCAGTGCACTGAACCTAGAAGTGGCCGTATCCTCTAAATGTGTCTGACAGGCAATGGCTCGCTCTATGTTACATGTCTGCGTCCCTATGCACCGCACTGTTTGCAAGCTCTTTTTCTCTGGTCTCGGTAACGTGAAACAATCTAAATCAATTCATTCAAGGAAGACCATACCGACGTTAATCTCAGATGCCCTCCGCCAGGTACTGGCCCTGCTCCCGGTGATCTACAATACACCTTATGCTTTATAACGTCTCTAAATCGTTAAACGAATTTTAGAAGCCCCTCCACCTGCGATGTGCGGCTATTTTCAAGATACCACCTGACCTGGTTGCCTGAAGGCCACACAAATTTTAAAAAAAACTACAAAACGGGCAGGTTCCATGTTATTCGCGAGCGCGTCGCCTGATGCACTAATGTGCCCATACTTCTACGCGTTGATATGATGCTGTGATGCCGGTTGGTGAAGATCGGTATCTGATTTCAACCTATGCTCTCAAAATTTTGTTACAAATTGGCAATGGAAAATTTTCCATCTTAACTGAATAGGGGCGGGGTTACTGGTCATGGTGCTTTGATAGTCTTGCCATATTTTACACACATAACTTGAAACCAGTGCTTACGGGTGCTCGATCAGATCAGTGAACAGAGACGATCACGAGCGGTCATAGGGTCACAAACCATGGTAAGCACAGCTTGAAACGTCGAGTTTTGACAATATCACAACCTTAGAATTAGGATGTTAGAATTTAAGTTTTGACAATATCATGTATAAGAACTCGGGAAGCATAACAATTAATGCTGTCTGGCGAGCGGAAGTTAATAGTTTCTGTGCACGAAACGAGACGGACATGAAATGGGCAGAGGTTATCGCTCGTAGCCTAAATATGGTAAGCATGGTCAACATCTTCCCATCAAAAATGCCACTATCTTCATCCGAGGAGGGCCGTTACCGGTACGGTACGATTTTCCGTCTGCGCAGCACACGTTGCAGAAATCATCCATTCATAAATATTGACCCAGTTCATTGATGTGTACATGCTCATTATAAGTGTATGTCTAGCGCCGTGGATAAAACACTAGTTATGTCCGCGTACATAGCGATTGTCCAAAAGCACGCCGATCTCTGGCTAGTAGAGCATTGCCAAAGGTGGGATTCGAACCCACGTGCTTAGGGCAAATGCAATTCACGCAGACTGAACTGAGCACACTTATGCATTCCGTGAAGCACGTATGATTGCACATCAACCTTTGACGATCTCTTTTCTCCACATGACGGATCCCCACAGGTTTTTTATAGTTAATCGGGTAAGGGAGCTTGCCATTTATCACTACAGGTTACTCCGAACGAGGTCGGGCGTTTCAGAGATGTCAGCGCTTTGAAGCGACTCAACACCTCAGCTGAACGGGAAGTCCCGCTAGCCACGGTCAGCTACACTTCTGGTAACATTTTACGGCCACACGGTCATGTCGTTTCCAGCAAAATATATGAATAAGCCATTTGAGCTACTAACAGCTATTTGGACAAACACTTGTGGAACGCTGCAGCCTCACTGTTGCTGCACCTTCCCATTCGGTAAAAATGGAAAAGGTGAGGTACACCGGCCGAAAACAGGTCTCGATATCGGCGACCTGGCACCGCAGCAACATACTGACTGAGGGAACACCGAGCAAAAGTTATGAAGACAGTGCTGGTCCCCATGGACTGTCGGACTATCACACAATCTAACTCTGGGGTTTACAAATACTTCGTGGAGTCACGGCCGTGTCCACTGCACAAAAAGCGTGCCTGAAGCATTACAGTCCAAATTTCGCGTGGCGAACAGAACAACTTACGGTTACCATCGCCAGCTTGCCCTTCCATGCTTACAGGACGTGCCAGGCGCCGAGGATGTGTTGGGTGTCATGCTGGCGTGTGCTCGCCAGCCAGGCGTTATAAAAGGCCATGGCCTTGTCTGTCATAAGAAACCGGACGGTGGGAAACGGCAGCTCCAGCTCCTCGCAGGTGCGGACCAGGCCAGTCAGCATGGATGATATGGCAGGCTCGTCCTCTCTGCTCAAGATGGGTCAGGCCACTGGCATGTCGGCTCCCGTCTCCGTCACCACCAGTAGCGTTATTAGATGAAAATCGTGACCTGTAGAGTGGAAAAATACGCACACTGTAACTCGCCCAGTGACACATGTTTGGAGATTCCACACAGCGTGCGTACATCGTGCTGCAGTGTACCAAAATAGCTATGCACACTTGAAGAAATGTGTGAAATGTGTGATCTGTGATGTGTGTGTGTGATGTGTGATGTTAAAAAAGTGTGAAAAAAATAAAAAAAATTAATAAACGAGACTCAATAGCACACCGCTCCCTTACATCTAAGGACTGGTACGCTGTACACTTGCGGGTTGTTCCTGACAAAGTGTATGTTTTCTGACGGATGCTGTTTACATTCTTCGTTCAACCAACAGCATCGCGGAGATCTGGTCTACTGCTGACACATGGTATCCATCATCGTTTACAATTAGCGTAAAGGTGAACGAAAAGCGGTTCGCGCAGTCAAGGTGTAGCGTTGCTTTCATTACACACATCCAACGAATAACGATACCGTTGCTTTGTTGCATTTTGAAGCCTCGTTGCTATTTGATTCCGTCATATCTGCATATTGCGCCCCTGGTAGCCTATGGCCAGTTATGAAAGTAGTCTCAACTATCAGATAAAGTGTACTGCATTGAGAGAAGTTGTCACCATCCAAAACGTCTCCAGTTACACGAGACATTAGTAGCATTATGCTAATTAAGGAAGTACGAAGCATTAGTGAATGAACGACGGATGCGCCATTAGCGAGTGAAGGGCAAATAAACCATCACCGCTGGTGCCGTGCGTGCCATCCATGCACACAACCTTTGCACCGTGCTGTACGAACTTCGCCAGCTGAGATGGTGAGCAGAAGGCAAGCACGAAGTCTTCATCTCGGAGCGCGCCGTTGCTGTCCGCTTCACCTGGAAGTTTGAAGGCCATCAGGTGCTGCTGAAATAATAAAGAGCGAATGCCACTTGACAACCACGCTTGAAGCAAATACGTATACCCACCAGCAGGTTACCCTGCGCGACGCAGGACGACCCAAATCACAGCGGACGTCAGTGATGTCATGCAAACGATACTAAAATACAAGGGAGTAAAAGTGCAGTTGATAATCCATATGAAGGGGTTTTCAAAGCAACGGGCTGCTCCCCTGCCAGGAGTTTTTTGGGGGGCTTCGAGGCGACCTAACGTTCGCTTTAAGATTTACCGGTGATATTCCAGTAAAATTGACTTAACTTCGCGATTTCCATTCAGAAAGTAAAGAAATTTAAACTGACGCACGTCCACAGCGGCTGCGATGGAAGGATTTCGAAAACGTTGGTATGTTGATTGCGCATTTGTCAAAACATGGGGGGAAACAAGCCTGTGTTCGGTACATATTGATTTAACACCGTGCGTGGAACGGTGTTGATATTGCTTAGTGACTTGCAAACAACACAGAGTTGGCTTTACGGTTCTGCTCCCCCTACTGCCGACTTATCAATCATTACGAACGCCTCAACTTTGGTGCACCGACGGTTTGCGTTCAATTGCGCATAGCCAGCTTCACAAGCCCACCCACACCTCACATGGGAGTACAAATGTTTCGAAAGCGTTCTGTTTATTGTTAAATACTGCGTACGAATAAATGAGCTGCGAATGTTCGTGCCCTGCGCAGTGGAAATGGGCTGATAATATGTAGGTGCCACGCCTAGTCGGATCTTGATCTGGTTTTGGTCGAAGCATTGTCATGCCCATAGCCATGACCCTGAAGCTCCAAAACCCATGACCCTAACCGCGCGGGTACAGGCCTAATGAAATTCAAATGTTCACTGTCGACATGCCAGCTACGTGCAATGACGCGAATCTTCGCCAATTTGCTTACCTGATCCGATGATCGTATCTCCTCCGCGAAGATCTGCACACTGATGACTTCATTGCGGTTCTTCACTGCACTGCCATCCGCTGCCGTGATACCGACAGACCGACACATGTGGAGGTCGCGCCGCTGGAGCCAATATGGACGACTGGAACTGGTGCCTGTTGCCGCTTCAGCCCCGAACGCCTCACGGACATCCTTAATGATGCGAGACATTGACACCCCAGTCAGCAGCTTTTCTGGAAGCGAAGACGACGGCGTTAATATTTGTCTTTATACGCCATTTGGATCAGTGCTTTGGCAGTACTTCGACTTGCATGCGTGAATGACTTCTGACGAGCTGACACTGTACTGGGCACCTAACCCCAATGACAGTGTGAGAAATCTTACAAGCTTATATTCTAACAGCTACAATTTGCATGAGTTGTTCTCACACAACACTGAAGTCATGGCGAGCAATCCTACGCCCTTATATCAGCATACCATTTCTCAACTCTCACCCTTAATGGCAGCTTTGTGGAGGCTGGGGATCCTGACGTGTGGGATGTTGTTAATACCCATGCTGTGGCCGTAATGGTGCACCGTCACCAGCACCGTGCCGTCCTCTTGAATAGTCGCCATGACATCCGACGTGCAGCGGCAGCCCAGCTTGCACGTGCCCTGCGACTTGAGCCGCCTCTTCCCGGTCCCCGCCGGTGCGTACACGCCGGACCGGGAGCACAATTAGCGGGCGGTTGTACCGCTCCGGGGTCGGCTGGAAGCGATGTTGTACACCGCTCCGGTGTCAGCCTCATACTGGTACTTCCAGGCTTGAAACTCTGAAAAATCACGGTGGTGTCAGTACGCCTTTTGAGAAATGAAAATAGGTGGTCTTCGGACAGACATTATGTTGACTTTCGGACAGATATAACGCTGATCTTCAGACACAGGTTATGTTTACCTTCGGACAGGCATTATGTTGGATTTTGGACAAACACTACCATTTCAGTCATTTAGTCTTTGGAACCAAATGGTGTGACATTTGAATGCTATATAGGAGGAAACGCTGCAACGATAAGGTGAGGCAGGAACATGACATATTAGAGCAAGATGTCCCTCACTTCGTGATATACCGCACAAGAGCGACAGGCCGACGAACATTAATATGTGAAGCAAAATGCATGTAATGGAGAAAAACGAACGAAATATTCGAGTGGACGAAATATTCGCAATACAATGGAAAAGGACTTGGAGATACAGTTGCCCACATCCTCCTCCATCAGCAGGTGTTTGTCTCCTGTCACTGCGACACCCAGCACCCGGTTGTGCAGACCTGGATCAGGACTCGACCGCTATGAAAGGGACTGGTATTTGACTTTTGACTTGAAAAATTGTGATGCGATTTTACATTTACAAGACACCAGTGCATAATCAAACACATTGCATCAAATCATCCAGAAAATCTCACAGTGGAAACTAAATAAACAAAGGTGCTCTTCACTGATGAAACCTGTGTAGCATTGCTGTGGTAAGATTACCTGTTCATCACGAGAGTGCTCCGGATGTTATCTTACACGATGAACACCTACCACCAATGCGCTGCCTTGGAAATCACAGTACTGACACTGGAGTTTCTGAAATACAGGGAAATGTAAGGCAGCATATGTGAACACTTGCTGACATTGTCATATCAATCACAGGCATGGTGAAAACTTCTGAAATGCAATGTCCATTAACTGTCTCTTGCAAGAACTCCAAAAAAAATTGAGAAGCATCATGAACAGCACAGTTTCACTACATTCATAACTGGCCTTGATGAAACAGACATATAACCAGGTGAACTCCATGTTGCCTTACCTTGGTGCATTTTCACTCTTAAATCTGTTTCCATGATCATGGGGCTGCTTCTCATAGCTATGCTATTCCCATTACTTAGTCCTTGCTCAAAACCTACTCAAGTTTTTTATGTGCCCTTGGCCCATATCATGTACTTCCTCAAATTGCACTGAAAACCTGCTGCTCCCAATTGTACCCATGCTCCAACTACAGACAGGCTGATCAAAAGGATTTCATGGGTTGGTTACACCCATGGGTAATCATACGGAATGGGTTCGATTCCATCACATATTTGAGAAAATTGTCTTTCTTGCCTTATGAATAAAATGAAAGTCAATCTACACTGCATATTTCATATTGTCTTGACAAGGAAGAACTGAAATCAGGATCATATACAAGAGTTGGCCTTCAGCACTCAACTCCTACACTTACATGCTTAAAACAGGCATAGTGTTTTCCAAATAAAATGATACAGCCCCATCATTCACTTTTCTCCTTGGGCTAATCTACTTCAAAACAAACTGGCAGCTGCTCATGGAGCATATCCCCGTGCTTGTCTTGGAACATCAATACCAATGACATAGCAAACATGGGCAGGTAATGTCTTAGAGCCTCATCTGTGGAACTAATCAGTTGCAAGCCTACACCTTGATTCTTAACAGATCAAACGACATTTTCGTTCTTCCAAAGCACACTATGCACTCACTCATGCAATTCAACACACAGCTAAATGAGGATTTTCACAAGCCTTTATGGTAACCTTATGCGAAACTAGGTATACCTTTGGCTTGGCATGCTGCTCCTTTTCATGGCAGGTTAAGCTCTCCTGTGAGCGAAACCAGATTTGGCATCTTGCACATGTGTGCACTTGGAATGGCGCATTCCGGTTAAATATATTATTTACTGAACAATCACTCATAGACCCAAGCAGCTTTCTTAAGTTAGGGAAAGAATTGCACTTTAAAGCATTTTTGATGGCCCAAGCCTGTAGGATTACTATTAAATATTCAGATGGTTGACAGCCTTGCTCCAGGCTTCAAAAATACAGGTTATCATACAAGCATAACAGCGAAATCCTCAGAACCATTTCAGTACATGTGCACAATAAATCTGAGTCACAAGTTTGGCACATAGTTGCCAATATTTTGGGTGCATACAAAGCACATTTGGTGCAGTGGGTAGATGTCCGTAGACTGGCCACCAAAAATCTTGCCTCAGGGCGTATTGGATAAAAACTGGCTGATAACTCTCAGACATGGTAATTCATAAGTTTTATGTTTCAAAACATCACCTGTTTCTTAAGTATACACGGTGCAAGAAGTCCCCAAGCTCATTTGGTGTCCTCACAACTCAGCAGGCATGTACTCACATATCGGGAGACTCCGCGACGTTTTTGTTCATCGCGGACGCAAAATCATCTTCCGAATCACACATTGTGAAAGCTCCTGAATTTGACCTATCCCATCCGCAGCTCAGAACACTAAACTCGCTGATCTTAGGTCGACGCACCGGTAACCTCCGGACAATAATAGAACAGGCAATATGACCAACGAAGGACTTGGAGCAACGGAACGTGAAATCGCTAGCAGGCGGACGTCGATTGTGCGCTAGGATTGAACCATAACAAGACTTCCTTATTCCCATAATATTTTTCACCTCTACAAAGATGCTAAAAATGCTCTTGAGTGGTGAGCCAAGTTCAGGGCTTCAGCCGCACCCGGTCTAATGCGGACCGGCTAATCTTTTGTCAGCATTTTGCTAATCAGCTGATGAAGCATCGCTACCAGGCCGGGTAAATGATCCCAATGACAAGTTTTGTGCTCCTGAGACATCATTGGTAGAAATGTGAAAATTGGACCTCTTTTACTTTTCATGACAACACAGGGATTCCCAAGCCATTTATGATGACAACATTAAAAGCCAAGGAGGTATTTGTGATAACAGGTGTCCTGCATCCTACTGATGACATTCCTGGGATGAATGAATCAATCATCAGTTGAAAGCTTCCATTCGGACACATTTTTCAAGCTGTAGTAAAATATTTTTGATCCTTGGAAACATCTTTGCAGTGCTATGATACCCTGAAATATTGGCTCTGTATTTGCCATGCTTGACATTGTTTGCCACACTTGCTTTGCCCTGGTATTTGGGATGCATGTGATGAAAGTTTTGCACAGTGTTGCTGCTATACTGGACAAATTAGGCTTTCATTTGTTTTTTGTGCTTGTTTCAGAACATCTCATGATGGCTTCAGTGTGCTTTGTGCTTCATCAAAGCCATGGTTCCCCTCTATGTTAAACACAAATTTTAGCCATTGAAAATGGGCTGGTGAAGACCACTTTTATAAATGGTTCACAGAAAGTGACAAAGGTTAAGAGACCAAGTATGATATGTGTAGGCTAGTAAGACCAAAAAATGTATAATTATAGTGTGATAAATGAAATATTGACATTGCTAGTTTTAGAGTGGTATCTGCATCAAGACAATGATAGGAGAAATGAGGGCTAGGTTACCCAGAATTGCCAGCTGTTTGAAATTCATTGTAGATGGTTGAGATAGGTTTCATGAGGTCTGACAACTTGGTCTCAACATAAACCATGTGCTTTGAAAGGATATATTTAATGCTGTTGGGTGGGCAAGGGTATCTACATCCAGCACACACCAGGCACCAGCGCTGGCTGGCGGGCCAGCAACCCCAGTTTTTGCCCTAACCCATGGTGGTGGTGCCCAGTAACCAACTGGGGTCAGCGGTGGCCTGCAGTGGTCCGGGCAGGCTGGCTGCCTGTAGTGCCAGGTGTCATCCATATATCTCCCCTACCCTGAGGTATTGGACCAGCTGTTTGTAGAGTTCTTCCATTTCTTCAATCAGTTTTCGGGGTCACCAGTGAGTCCGCGCTGGTCGGCGCGGCTGCATGCAGACAGGAACTGCTACTACACTGGGGTCCTCGCCAACAAACACCGGCTCCCCGACAGCAGCATACAGGCGCGGCAGGCCGATAGCGACGCCACACGTGTCGGCGGTTACGCATCATCACCCGTCCGTTGGACAGACGGATGTAGTACCCGTAATGTGGGCCGACCTCATACGCACTCCATGCCGGTCCCAGCGGCCGGTTCGGTCACCCTGAATGGCGATCTACTTTGCGACAGACAGCGGCGCCAGGCCCTGTGCTCGGCAGTTGCACGTGTCTTGTCCGCCTCCTCCTGCTGCCGGGTCCGCCGTACCTCTGCGATGTCAGCAGTCAGCTGCCACTCCGAGGGGGGGGGGGGGGCGACACTCATCCATTGGGCTCGAATCAGGCCTCGCATGGGCCGGCCAAACAAGATGATGTGGCCCTTCCGTTGGATTGGGGGTGATGTGACATCCCACGATGCACCGCGCCTGTACGACGGAGGAAACTACAGGACCCGACAGACGTAACTGGGGACCTCCGTCAGATAAGATCGCTCCAGGCACCCCGACGTGACAAGGTAGTTCCCTCATCACAGAGATTAGTTCCCATTGGTTGGCGCAGGATAACCTTCGTAGTCGGCGCGCCCTGAACCCCAATGATCATCATCACCCTCTTGTTGGAGCGATGTTTCCCAGTGACTTGATAAATCGCTATCCGGAGAAAACATAATCGGCGATCAGGTCCCAACATCCAGCGTGTTCTGCAAAGTCTAGGTCGAGATGCCGAAATGGTCCCTCAGCTGACTTATAGTGGATGGTAGTTCCTTTCTGCCGGGAGAGGGAGTTCCCGCTGGCCGAGTTGACAGCTCGTGGCAACGTTCTCGATATCAGCGGACAGTCCCGACCAGCATACAATCTGGCGCGCTCTTTCTGGCGTCTTCCCCAGCCGCGGTCATGGCGAGTGGCGAGCACAACTCCACGGAGAGTGAGCTGGATAACGAGCCGGCAACCGCGGACAACTACCCCATCGTTTTCAGACAGGCTCTCGCCGATGTGTCAATACTTCGCATCGGTTCGAGGAGAACACCTCTCTCTGCGGCTGGAACAAAAGACAAGCCTTAACAGCGTTTACGTCCGCTCGCAGGGAGGTAAACAGACTATGCGTATGTGTTGGTGGGGGCTGCACACACAAAAATAACCATCGGACATTTGCTGAATGTAATACTGATAATGATTGTTTCATGCCGCATGCTATCAGATTCTAGAGATGTTGTGTTGTTGAAGTAATTGAGGGTGATCGTATTTCACAGGACGGTGATAAAAGGGTGATCGTATTTTTTAAGAAAAGGGTCTAATCCTGCCAGGCTTTGACGTCTTGCATGTCTACTGTCTGCCTGTCTTGCATGTCTACTGTCCAGAGTGGAAGTCGAAGGAAACAAAGCATGCTTCTACCGAGGTAAATGCCGGCGCGATAACTTACGCCGCGGACTGCAGGACAGATGGAGAGATCGGGCTGGAAATACTCCAGTGGCTATTGATGGACCGAACCCCCCCCCCCCCCCCCGCCCTTCATTCACTCCTTAAATCCTGGCAACACCACTGTTGAGACGTATTGCATTTCTTCACCTGTGTCAAGGTCCTGTCGCAACGCATTACAGCGGGGGGTGGGACCAGGGGGCTCATTCCGGCGCCTGAGCGTAACAGAAATGAGGGTAGCTGCCTGTGTTGTCTATCCCGGCAGCCTGGCTGGAAAGACAAGGAGTCATCAACGCAAATTAACCCCAAACAAATTTGTCATGTGTCATTGGTCGGCGAACGTGGGTGGTAACTGAAATCCGGAGAGATAAGTGAAGATACAGTACTAATGGAAGTCGAATTCAGTTTGAATGCAGTTGATTCCGACTTCAGTTTCCAATATAGCGTATGCTAGCTAGTTTGCATGCGTGACACTTTGGCAGGCGTGTGTGGCGTTTCAACTGAGATAGCCGGTGTGTGATTCACAGGGAGATGCTCCCGATATGTCACGTGTCTCCGTTAAATACATACACCGCCCTGGCTGCTCAGCTTGCATGCGATTTACCGACAGGTTGTACAATGTCATGAAGCTCCCACTTCACTGGAGACTACCGCGTGAACGGCAGCGGCCCACAGTTTGGCCGCCCGCTGCCGTCGCCGCTCGCGGGCTGGCTGGGTGCGGTGCCGTGTTCTGCTCGGCGTGACGTTGCTTCATCCTTTCTTTCTAAAATTGCAATACTTTGGTCGCCGATGGCTCTCGCGAGTGAATTATTCCTGTTACATATGTGAGGGTTTGTTTCGCACTTAATGGAAACTGAACTAACTTAATGAAAGACGCAACCATAGGACGATATAGCTGTGGAAGATATAGATGACGGACGATAGATAGAACATGTCATGTCTGGACGGACATGCAGATGTTGTCCGCCCCGGTAGCTGAACTGATGAGAGCGCCTGTGCTCCGATCCACCCACCCCTGGCGGGGTGAGTTCGAGCTGCTTAAGGCGCTCGCCATTTGTTCTGGACAGGGATGGCCAGCGGCCGGTGGCGGCTGTCGCGCTGAAGGGTTAGCGGGCAGCACGGACCGTGCCGAGCATTGCGACACAACAAGCAATGCTTGTCGTGGGCACTGGCCCAGAAATCCATTCGTTTGAAAAAGTTTAGAATGAATCTTTTAAAAAGCTGGCGTCTCGCCTTTGTATTGCAACTCCGTGCACACTTAGATGATGCGTGACCACAGCGCGCCGGGAGCGAATTGAGGTGTCCTGGCCCGGTACAGTCGGCACGCGCTGGAATCCAAAACGCCACTTTGGGCCGGGCGCCGGGCTGCCTGCCGACCCAGAGGCGGCGAGCTGAGCATCGGCCGCTGGCACGGGCCGGAAACGAGGCGGTCCATGCCCTGCACTAGGAGGTGGTGAAAAGAAATGCGCGTTGCTCAAATCTTATAGTTCTAGTGAGGAAGCATTACTTTTAGAAGAGGTGCCTCGGCATAGCGTGTTATAGTGTGACAGTGTGCCTTTGGAGGTGCCTCGGCATAGCGTGTTATAGTGTGACAGTGTGCCTTTGGAGGTGTCTCGGCACAGCGTGTTATAGCGTGGCAGTGTGCCTTTGGAGGTGCCCGCACAGTGTGTCATGGTGCGCTGTGCTCACGCAGTGTGTTATTTTACGTAGATGTCTGTGTGTGCACGTGGGAGATTGGCAAAGTGGCAGTATCTTGATCACATTTCGTTTTTCAGCCTCGTGCGGTGTGGTGAAAGGATGTCCAAACAAGATATCAAAGCACCGCCGGCGTGGGGGTCTTTCGGATGAAGTGCATTATTACCGGTTTCCTAAAGATCCAGGGCTGAAGAAGGGCTGGATTGCCTGTTGCTGTCCCACTAACACGCCTCCTGACAGGGTCGAAAAAGCAAAAGTGTGTAGCTTTCATTTCAATTTAGAGGATTATGTTGAATCGTGTATGGTCAAAGCTTCCTTGGGTTTAAAAAAATAAAATATTCACCTCAAGGAAGGCGTGATTCCATCTGTCAATCTTGCGTCAAACGCGGCCAACCCGTAAGTGTTTTTTTTTTTTTTGCTGGTACAGACGGCTGTTTGACATATGTTCCCTTTTTTACTAAGTTGCATGAAAAGCCGTCGGTGATTCGACTGAAATCAAATGGTAAATAAACGTCTAGCTGTTTTCTTTGCACGGATTTGGTGCATTGAATAGTACACTTCAGTTGAACCATAACGGCCATGTTCACACTTGACCTCGCAAAGTGGCTGGGTGTGTAGGATGGGGATTACGCTGCATGTGCATTGTATCAATGTCCCATCGCCGATGCCTCCTTGCGTTGAAGCCCCGTCTTCGGCAAGGCGAGCAGCTAGTGGAGCGCGGCTATTTTACGAAGTTATACATCTGGCCATGGTCAGCTTCTCCACTTGTGGGTTTTGATTGTTGTTTGCGTGCACCCCAGAGCTCGGCTGCCAGTGCCAAGATTGTGCTCACTGGCGTTCATATATGATCAGTCGGCCCTTCCAGCGCGGTGGTGAAAACTCTGGCCAGGAAGAGCAGACAGGACAGGCGGCACAGGCAGAACATGGTGGACGAGCTTCTCCGAAGGCAGAGGATCGACGATACCGCCAGGTGAGGCAGGCGCATCCCGTACCCGAAATCGGCAGGTACTGGGTGTGAAATGGCACGCACTCAGAGGTCTGTTCAGCCCCGACTTCAAGTTTATAACCCCACGTCTCGCGCCCGTGTTATTTCGCAATGTTGCTGACAAGTTAGTATTGTGCCAAATGGCGTTTCGAAACGAAGCGACACAGATCTGCACCAAGAGCGGTGCGCTTCAGGTATGCGCATATCAAGGGTTTGTCCGAGGATCTGTAACCCCCTTGAACAGCTGTGCGGTGGTAGCACATGCTTCGCCTTGTGCGGACGTTTGTATGAGACGCTGGACGTACGCGAGCCGCCGCGTGTCGTTGAGCTACTTTTACCAGCCATCTGCGCGGCATTTCAGGCTCGTGGCTGGTGCCGGTGCGGCGGAGCCGAGCCGTGTGCCAGACGGTCTGGCGAAGCGCGCTGGGATTAAAGAGGGCCGGCCAGACGACAGACGGTCAGACGAGGAAGCGGAGGACAGCCCGGGCACGGCTGGCAGCTGATCAGGAGACAAACTCTCTGAGGGTGGAACACCAGACGGAGGCCGGTGGCCGGGCCACAGCTGACCGGCCTATCATCACTGTGCTGGGTCCTGACGCACAGACGGCGCCGCCGGTGCAGGACGCGGCTGAACGGCCCGTCATCATCACTGTGCTGCGTCCAGACGCGCAGCCGGCGTCGCCGGCGCAGGACATCGTGGTCACATTCGAGGATGCCGAGAGCCAAGAAGCGACGCCCGCGACAGGATTGCAGCCACAGCGGAAGACAAAGCCAGCTGCGGGCGATGAGCGGTCTGGCGGTGAGCTAATGGAGTCGGATGATGAAGACGCTGAAGATGTCGTTAACTTCTTAACCTCAGGAGACGACGAACCGTCTCGGAACTCTGCGTCCATCGCCACAGCGCTGACGCAATCAAGCGCTGCGGTCAAGTCCGCGCAGGACTGGTGCGCAGACTCTGATTTCAGTACTGTCTACCGTCCAGTCGGCGTGCATTCCTCACTAGTCAACACGACCTCGACTAAGCGGTATGTCGCCGGCCGGCTTGACGCTGAACGCTGCGGCAGGGACGGCACCGGCTGCCGGCTGCGCCGTTCCGTCGACTCAACATGCGATCCAAACCGCCACCTCTTCTCCCACGCGGCCCGGTTTGCAGCCGCATTGGCCCGTAGCCGCGATACGGCCCGAGCAAGCCATTCTGGCTGCTGCGTATCGTCGGGAAGCAGCCGCGTCGGCGGTAGTCGGGGGTCCGCGGCCATCTGTGTCTGTTGGCCCAGTACGGGCCCTGCCGGCTGCTGCCACAGCTTCCAGTGGTGCCCGGGCAGCCAACGCCGGCACCTCGTCCAGAGAGATCCCGGGGCGGACACAGGGCGCGGACGAGCATCCGCCGCGGCCTGTCGGCCATGCGCAGGGCGGGGCAGCGCCGAAGCGAGCTCTGCCGGCGGAGGACGGGCGCTCGGCCGGAGAGGGCGGGGCCGGCAGCAGGCGGCGGCAGCCGAGCGCCGAGCCCGAAACGCCGCACACGCGTAAGAGTCCGCCCCTGTCCCACCTGCGAGCGGTGTTCTCGCAGGCGGGCCTGGACAGTCAGCTAGCTGACCCGTACCGCACCTTGGTCCCGGCCACCCGTGAGTTGTTGCACTGCGATCAGGAGCATCCGAAGATGTGACCGATCCCTCCTACTAGTGGAGTTATTCAGCGCCCGAATGGGCATGACGCGATTTTGAACATTTTACAGGGCTTAATGAAACAGTCGCACAAAGGTTAGACTAGAAGCACGCGATGTCGGTTTCGTATTAATTGACGGTTTACCGTGGTGCACCTGTGGCGACGGGGATAAAATAGTTGTGACATTCTGTCCATTGGCTCCTGGTTTGAATTCCAGAGAAGTGAGCTGTGGGACATTGCGAATTTCCCCGTGTTGTACCGGATGTTATACATCCAATGTTGAAAGAAGACTGCGAGTAGATTGCAGCGCAAGAACTGAGCGATTGACGAACAAATGGGCTACTCGGATTCAGAGGTGGATTCCCGAATTTTTTGGGCATGTAATTCACAAAAGTTGTTCACTAAGCGTATTCCGTTTAGGGAAGGGTATAGGAATTATAGAGAAAAAGAGTAAGCGACACTTGTCATGGTAGTGTTATGTGCTGTAATAATGAATGTGATTGTGATACCGGGATATCGTTCAGAAACGCCCATAGAGCCAATATTTTCAGGAAGTCCCCGGCCACCAGTATGCGCCAACATAGGAAGTTGGTGATTCGTATATCAACGTGTTTGTTTTAGGAACGGAACCCTAAAATGACGGTCACAAAGCTGTCTTAAACGGAATGTTGCGGCTACGCCGATGTACATTCTGACTTTTGATGTCATGTGTACAGTGCACAGACAACAGCTGGCAATTTCCCATCGTAACGCTGACAACTTTTGCCATAGGCGAGACGCCGATCGTGACCCGCTCCAGGGAGCTGCGGCGGCGCAACAAGCTGGTGAGGCTGGAGGAGCGCTACAAGCGGCTGCTCTCTCCCCGGCTCGCAGGGCACCGGCTGCCGGCCGGAGGGCGCCAAGCAGGAGACCGGCGGCAGCGACGGCGAGCCGTCGCTGCTGACTGTGCTGCGCCGCCCCCCCCCCCCCCCCCCCCGCGACGCTCGGCGTCATCGCCAAACTGCGCAAACACAGGCTGGCCGACCAGGTGGAGACGCTGGCGCCGGCCAGTCGGCGGGAGGCTCTGGACGTTATTCACCGGTTGCGAGCCGAGAACCTGGCCCTGAAGACCGACGTCGTTCGGTGGGCTATCAAAAACAGAGGAGACCGACTTGAGGGACGAGGCCACACAGAACCACCTAGAGAAGACCTACGCCCTGGGGGTGAAACGAAAGCGACTGCAGGAGCTGCTAGTCATGGAAGAGGCCTTCAGCAAAGTGCTCACTCCGTCTCAGATCAGAGCCATCGTTCGGGACTACTCGTCGAACAGTGCAGAGAAGAAGAAGTTGGTGCAGTGGCAGGAGGAGGACTTGCGTCGCGCGCTCGAGCTGGGCATGATGAGCTCGGAGAAAGTGTTAAAGTACGTGCGGCAACAGTTGAAGATTCCCCTGCCGAGCATGATGACGCTGAGGGCGCGCTGTGGACACTTCCCCGAGCTTGATCAGATGTACAGGACCATGCTGGCAAACGCCAAGAGGGCGCCACACTGCGGCATGTGCCAGCGCCAGCTGAATACTATCGACGAGGTGGCGGAGGCGGCGGCGGCGGCACCGGCACCGGCACCGGCACCGGCACCGGCACCGGCACCGGCGCCAGCTCCCGCCCAGAACGGCTGGAGCGCGACCGGGCCGGGCTGCGCCGAGCTCCTCGAGCTCCGGGCTCCTGCCACCCACGGGTGGCAGGAGCGCCAGCGCCCGCCGGCTGGGCGCGGCAGCGGCAGGAAGAGGGACCACGGATCCGCCCCACAGGACACGCCGAGGAAGAGGGCGCGCGAGGACTGGGGCGAGGAGTCTGAGAGCTCGGAGAGCTCGGAGAACGAGCAGGGTCGCCGGTACTCTGAAGGGGCGGCGGGCGCCCTGCTGCGCTGGCAGCATCAGGGCGGCGTGATCTGGAGCCACCGGGACGCAGGCAGGGCTTATGCGCGGTTCAGGAGGTCCTGGCAGAGCTGAGACACAGTGGACGGTGACAGTGCCGGGCCCGTTGTATTTGGATTGAACCGCTCTGATACCACTGTATAAGTGATCGACAGATGCATACAGTTTGACGTTAACAGTTGCTGCGGAGCGGAACGGGTTACATCTCCACACAGATGCAGCACTTAGAGTTGCGGCGTCTTTGCGGTCTATTGACCTGAAGGTTGCCGTTGAGATTGCACACGGCTTCCCTGCACCTCCAGTGCCGTGGCTGAACATGCGCCGCGAAAGGCCCCGCCTTGGGTCTAAGCGTTCGGTTAAAAAGGGCCTGAAAGGCCTTGCACCCCTGCCTCGCAAACATCAGTCTCACGGCAAGGGTGACTGCAAACGTCAGAAATTACGCACGCCAAATGGTGTTTGTGGACTATCGCGGAGTCATCGAGCCCAGGCCACAATATATACATTCGAATCCATCTTTAAACGAACACTACACGATACAAGCCGGGTAGGGCGGCCGAAGTAAAGCCGACCGCCGCCCCAAAACGACAGCTGCCCAACTAGTGAAGGATCTCTCGCGGTCCTTGGTAACCGGGCATGTTTGATTAGTGATCCATGCTGTTTCAACCTGTCTCTGCAAATCCTGAAGGCTCATGCTACGCCGCGATGCATGCGGGCTAACACTCGATGACTTGACGTGATTCCGAGCTCAGTCGGAACAGGAGCGCCCCGGGAGCCTGCGACGGGGACCTCGAGGGATGGTCTACCGCGCTGGCTTCGCTGGCACTCATCGGGCATCGCATGGAATGCCCTCACAGGGCTGCTCGACATCGCGGGACGTGCCTCGCCCCGGGCGCGCAACCTTAGGGGTTGCTATGGCTGTTCGGCGAGCCCCGTGAGATATTTAAGTGCTTCGCGGACTGTGCTGTGCCCAAAACGGGCCCGCCAATCCAGATCAAAGCCAAAGCAGTACATGCCGCTTCACTGATCGCCGAGGGCAATTGGGAAAGGTGCGGCCAGTTCGAGTACGTGCGTCGTCCGGGGCGATCTCGCTGGCCGGCGGTGCACCTGTCCCGAAGTATCTAACGGAAGGCGCCTGCGTAGCATCAAATGAGAGGATACGTGAACAGGCCTCAGTTGAAAAGATTGATCTGAGGCCTCCGCGCCCGTGCAGTGACGCGGGCATTGTCGATTGACGTTGATAACTGAAATTCGACCACTTGTTTCTGGAGCGCATGCACACACGCTTCGGCATAAAATGTTTATTGGACATGTCCGATCTATGCGACCAGAGCTGTGCGGGGATACTCAGCACGGCAAAGGGAGGCGAAGCTGCGCGAAGGGAAGTGAAGCCGGACGAAGCGAGGGCAAAGGTCAGGGCAAAGGTCATCAGGACATGCCCATGCCAGTCGGCAGCGCGTATTATTCAGCCGCTGCGTGAAATCGACGTCATCGTTCAGCACCACGTGGCCTTCCTTCCGTACCTCGTAGCGCAAGTAAGCGCCACATCCACTCGCCGCATCTTGCACTCGTCGCTGCCAGCGTCATGTACCGCGCTGAGCGACCCGTGTTCAGGCGACGCCAAACAACGTCTTCAGGTCGCTGAGCGTCAGGCGGTTGGAGGCCTGTTGCTTGTCGCCAGCCAGCACGCCGCAAGCGATCCGCAGCTTCTTCTCCTGCAGCTCTACGATGCGCTCCTCCAGCGTGTCCTTGCAAACAAACCTGCGACGGCGGCATCGGGTGTGAGCCGTACGCGACCTCGATGGGTCGCGTCCAGTAGAGGCAGTGGTGGCGAACCTTAAGCAGTGTGAGAGCTTCCAGGCTCTGTGACCTGCATTTGGAAGACAGCTCGGTTTTTCTATGAGCAATTATTCGAAAATATTGAGCGCTGGACTGGGAACATTGACATGAATCATCCAGCGAAAAACAGAGAGACGCCTGGAGTCCTCCAGCAGCGGCGACTTCATACATTATCACGTAAACATGCCGCAAAAATCCTATGAATCAGCAACTGACCGGTGAATGAAGACGTCCTTGCGCTGGCCGACGCGGTAGATACGGTCTCCCGCCTGCTCCTCCAGCTGTGGGTTCCAGTGCGGGTCCATAATGAACAGGTGGTTGCCCCCGACCAGGTTCAGACCAACGCCTCCCGCCAGCAGAGAGAGCAGCATCACCTGATCAGCATGTCAGCCCGGATCAGCCAGGCTCACAGCGGGGGGGGGGGGGGGGCTAAAGCGCACAGCATTGTAAACCTTCAGTTCAACCTGCATTTGTGAAAGCACACAAAACGTGGCGAGATGAAGAACGTAAGTAGCACGGCACGACGGCAGTTCGACAGTAATCTGCCGAGCACAACGTTCAGTAAGGTGTTGATCGTGGTCGCGGACCGTGTCGGCTGGTAGCCGAGCCGACCACGGGCGCAAGTCAGGCTCCGAACGACTCGACACGCACCCGCGGCCCGCCACCGGACCTGTTGAACGCTTCGATGACGGCCTGTCGGTCGGCCATGCGTACGGAGCCGGAGATGGTGCAGGAGGGCACGCGCGCTCGGCCCAGGTGCGCCCGCACGATGTCCAGCATCGACGTCCACTGGGACACGACTACCAACTTGTCGGCGCCCGAACGCATGATCTTGTTTATCTCCTTCAGCAGGCGCACCATCTGAGGCCGGAGCCAGGCGTCAGGCTCATGGCAGTGACGCCGCGTGCGCCCAGCAGTGCGCGGTGGTCTTCAAGGCTATCGAGGGCGATGCTCTTTTCGATCCAAAGCCTAGCGAACTACCGAGGACTCGCTTTCGTCTGTCAGAGGGCCACGATGCTTACTACACCGTTTATCTGGCAGAACTAAATGGAAAACGACGGGAGAAACTAAACGCCATCTCCCGGTCGCGTGGCAGTACCTCGCGAAGCAGCACTAATGGCACCGGTTCGCCGCTGCGGCCCACGCTACCTTGGAGCTACACCAGTCCTGACTGAAGACGGGGTTGTCAGCGGCAAGCACGCTCGGCCGCTGCTGGTCGGCCACTGGCTGCTGGTTGGCCGACTCGTCCAGCGTGAGGCCCAGCAGCTGGGCGCCCAGCTCGTCCGCCTCGGCGTTCGGGTCCGCGCCGGCCGCCTCACGGTCCGCTGACGTCATCACCTGCCGACAGTCGCCCGCTGGTGGTGGGATGAGGAAGCGACGGCGAGTGGCTGCCGGAGCAGGCGCTGCGTGGCGGAGTGGCAATCCAAGTTGCGAGGACGTGTGGGGAGGACATTGGCTAAGGCCCAGTTTTCCTTCGCTACGATCGGCGTCAGAAAACAAATGATGCGATGGATTTGTAGCATGCGTCATGAACGTAAGACATTGCTGCTGTACACCCCTTGAGGAAGACTTTGAAGTCAGCGAACAAGCGAGACGAAGGTAAACGGAAACCTGCAATGCAAAGACCTTAAACGAATGACAAGGATTTGGATGACACAGTTAGACTTCTACAACAATGTTAACTTAAAGTCAACCCGACAGGAGCAGCGAATCAAGCAGCCTGTTTCCATTCATGTCACAGCGGGACACCGGGAGAAAAGTATGACTGCCGAGCGTGCTACAACTGTGGCCCCGGCATGAGCACGTGCCACCCCGGCCGCGATGACGGCGGACGGACCGTTTTGGCAAGGCCCGGGTGGCAGCAGATCTGGCGGAGGCGCAGTAGCTGCACCAGCAGGTGGTGCTGCTTGATGGTGCCCTTGTGGCCCAGGCCGGACGGCTCGGCGACGTCTGCAGCTGGGGAAGACGACCATGCAAATGAACCGGGAGGGAAAGGCTGCGAACAAACTGCGCAATGCAAAAAGCTGCCGGGCACACGCGGTGGTACACAGAGCAAAGGTCCTAGTAACATAGCCGGGCGTTATGTAACTAAGGCGTTTATTCATTGGCATGGTGTGACACAGCACCACGCCACTGTAAAGCGTCTTCCGGAGGGGATTCATGCACTCGCAATACACATAAGACCCAACTGAGATATTTGCCGAACGTCTGTGTTGATAACAATACCGGGCAGCTGGCGCCTCACTGGGCGACGCAGTCTCCGTACGGACAACGGTCTTCGAAACTGATGCCGCGTAGGCGCGAGCGCCCGTGTGTCAGACATTGTTGTGATGACTCCGTTCCTTGTCTGTTAGTTCACTGGAGCCAGCTTGACGTGCCCCAGCGCGCCAGAAATGATAAGAACAGACATCGCGGTTGCGTGTGGACACAAAAGTGTGCTGGTGTTGCATGTGGGTGTACGTTTGCGTATGCGTTTGCGTATGCGTATGACATGACAGCAGACGTTGGATGACAGCAGGGGAACTGAAAAAACTATCTCGATTTTCTCATGCTTCTCCGACAAGATAGCTGCTACAGCTCATTCGTGCATCGGGGTAGGTATTCATTACTAACACTGAGCCGTAAGCGGCCCTGGCATGTAGTTTGTTCCCTTTTCTAGCAACAAGGCAGACGAGTGGTCATTAAGCGCTTATGCGCAAAATCATCAACGTCCAAATGACCAAACATCATTTATGTCATCAATGTCAAAAGTGCCTCACGCAGTGACCTCAGTTTTGAGGTGGCCACGCTTAGGCTCCGAATAACTAAACGGGAACTAATTCGTCGTCCAGTTGTGCAGAGCTCTCACCATCCAGATGCCACTCTCCCTGCCTATGGAGAGGGCCCTGGGACGGGGCTCTGCCCGTTCGCGGGCCCTGGACCGCCCTGAACCCGGATAGACCGATCCCGGTCAGTTCAGTAACCCTGCCCGACCGAGGACCCCGGTCCGCCATGATCCGGACGGGTCGATCTTAATTGTTTTTTGGATTAGAGCCCTTTCGACCAGAAATGATAATTTCAGGGCTATGGGATGAAGGAAAATGGCTAACAGTGGAGCCGACTCGCATACGCCCGCATGGGGGGCCAACCACCGGGCTTTCACCCGCGCATGCGCGCTGGGTACCCGGCCAGGGTCCCCCTTCCCATGGGGCTTCCGACCCACTCGTGGCTGACGCATGCAGCCTGCCCCGGACAAGCGGGGTGTCGCGAGGATGCAGGATGAAGCAAGATAGAGGATAAGAGGGGCGGATCGGACGGGTCGATCCAGGCCAGCTCAGTGACCGCGGACGCGGACCGCTCTTGACCCCGACGGGCTAGCAGATCAGCTCAGTGACCTTGCCCGACCGCGAACCCCATGACCCCGGCGGGCCGATCCAGATCAGCTCAGTGACCCTGCCCGACCGCAGACCCCCTGACCCCGACGGGCCGATCCAGGTGAGCTCAGTGACCTTGTCCGGCCGCGGACTCCGGACAACCCTGACCCGGACCCGGTTATCCTCAGCTCCGCTCGGTGAAGGCGTGGGCCGCCGTCCAGACAGCACCGACCTCTGCGCGTCGGGGCGGTGTGGAACACACCCGCGACACGCCGCAGACCGACAGCGCGCCGTCATCAGGTCTGGAGTCCGCTGTTCGCGCTGTTACCGCGTGTTCGCTCACGCGCGCTCATCGCGTGACGCCTGCGACTGTCATAACTTATTCCTAATGTAACGAGTGCCGTTCCTAACGTCATGCGCGTAAGGAACGTGTCTGTTGTCATGTTGAAGGAATTGGAAAAATTACGAAATGACGAAATACATCGGACGAGCTCTTCCTGAAAACGTTTATGTGTTACATAAATATATGGGGAACTCCCTAAAAGGATTGAGCGGTCACGCTTTAATATTGACAAACCACGTAAATGTTATTTATCAATCGGTGACCTGATTTTGTTGTTGTTTATTAAAGTTTGGGGGCGCGCCGACTGCGGAGGTCATTTGGCGCCCGTAACGAGTTTTGTGTTACCTATCTAATGAGCAGCATGAATGGTTCCAAAGTTGATGTGTTTGAGAAATAAAAAGATCTGTTGAGCTCCAAGAAATTGTGAGTTGTCTCCTATCATATCACTGAGGGTAAGGGGCGAGTCACGCTGTCCAAAGTAACGTTGGCGTTCTTCCACGAGGCGCGGACAAGATATAAGGACATGACGAACGGTGAGGACAGCGCCGCATCGATGGCAGATAGGTTTATCGGCTTCCTCCAACATATAGCCGTGGGTTGCGTACATGTCTCCGATACGTAGTCAGCAGAGGATCACCTCTTCTCGCCTCATGTAGCGGAAACACGAGAACCACTGACCCCGCTTAGGTTTTATCTCTTTAAGCTTATTACCTTCCATCTGATCCCAACAACGCTGCCACTTGTTATGCAGGAAGGTTTTTATTGCAGGGTAAAAGTCTGGCAGGAATATAAAAAGAGCGAACACATGGAGCCAGCGCTGCTCGCCTGGCAGTCGCATCAGCCAACTCGTTGCCCGCCATTCCAACGTGACTAGAAACCCAACATAGCATAACTTTCTTTCCGACCTGATCCAGTTGAGTCAAACGTAATAAAACGTCCTGTATAAGGGGACATGACGGATAAAAAGATTTCAAGCTCAGAACACTGCTCAGAGAGTCCGTCAAAATGGCATGTAAAGGTTCGTCGCCGACTTCAATAAAACATAGTGCCTTAGTGATTGTTATGAGCTCCGATGTGAACACCGAAGCGCTTGGAGGCAATGAAGACGACCGGATGACGCCGCCGCTCACAAACGCACAGCCTACACCATCAAAAGTTTTAGAGCTGTCCGTGTAAGTATGCGTGTAGCCCTGATATAGCGCTAAACGCTCAAGCGCTCTGGACCTCATTATATCTGGCAGCGGGACATTTTTTTTTTCAAATCTGTCAGAAATATGTCTGTGAAGGGTGAGATCAAATGGCAGGGAGCAGTGCACAGATGATCTGATCGCTTCACCTTTGTAATGGGAATTTCGTTTTCCCGCAGTAAGGCTTGTATCCGGGAACCAAAGGTCACAGCATGCGCCCGAGGTGCATTGCGAACAAATGGCATAGCAGGCCGCGGAAAGACTGCGTGGTATGCGGGATGCCACGGGAACTGTCGCAGCTTAAGTGGCATTAAGTGGCAGCGCAATGCGAGCATTTTCCTCCCCTCTGACCACGGCTGCTCGTGCGATTCTATCAAGAGGCTTCGGGTTAGAGATATACGGAACGCCCCTGTGATGACACGTATAGCGGTGTAATAGATGGTGTCAATGATCCGTTTGGTGGAATCAAACGCGCTGTCATAAATAAAGCATGCACAGTCCAGATTAGAGCGTATAATGGCCCGATACAGCAGCAAAAGCGTGCTCCGATCTCCGCCATACGATGTGCGCGAAACACATTTTAATACGCTCCATGATTTAAAACAGCGTTCACGTAGCGTCTTAAGATGTGCCTTATATGTAAGCCGGCGATCAAAGTATACCCCAATGTATATAGCCACAGGCTCAGTTGGAATGTATTGTCCATACAGACGGATCGACAGGACACCGGATTTCGGGCCACGACAAAACTGCATGGCTACAGTCTTGCTACTTGAAAACCTGAACCCGTTCATGGTACCCCACTTCTCAACACGGTCCACAGCCAACTGGAGTTAGCGCTCCATCGATGGCGCTTTTGCTACGCTGGTCCAAATAGCAAAATCATCAAAAAAAAGGGCACGACCTACAGACTGCGGCAGCCCCATCCCGATGTCGTTAATCACAACGGCAAACAAAGCTTCGCTGAGAACGCCGCCTTGGGGCACACCGTTAGCTTGAAGATGCCTCTCAGAGAGCGCGTTTCCAATACAGACAAGAAAAGAGCGGTCAACTAGAAAGTTTTGAAGAAAGGTGCCCATATTGCCGCTTATACCATGCCTGTATCGCTTGAGAAGAATGCCCCGATGTAATGTGGTGTCATAGGCGCCCTCTATGTCAAAGAACACTGCGCCTATGTATCGGTTTGCTTTAAATCCCATACGAATCGTAGTGTGAAGAACTAAAAGATTGTCCACTGTGCTGCGATTCTTTCTCAAGCCACACCGGGCGTTTGTAAAAACGCCGTGATGTTCTAAAAACCAACTTAAACGGACATAAACCATCTTTTCCATCAACTAAGAGAGCGATGAAGTGAGAGAAATAGGTCTATAATGTGAACCATCTAGTCCGCTTTTACCCGGCTTCAAGACAGGCACGACAATAGCTTCTCGCCAAGAAGCTGGGAACTCGCCTCTGATCCAAGGCGAATTAAAGATCGCTAATAAAACGCGAAGCACGCGACGCGGCAAATGCTTAAGCATATCACTGTGCACAGTGGCCGGGCCTTCTGACATGCTGCGAAGCCTGGCGATGGCCGATTCTAACTCGACCAGCGTGAAAGGGCCATTATATGTAAGAAATTCACTCGTCGAAAAGTCCACTGCAGATTGCTCACATCGCATTATATGCCGCACAAACTGTGGGTTTGTGTTACCACCTACGCTGCGTTGGGCCAGGGCCCGGGCAGCCTCATTCGCGACATTCAACGGGCGCGTCACAGCCTGGCCATTAACACACAGCACCGGCAGAGCTATTGGTGAAAACTGACCCGAAACACGCTTGATCCGGGCCCAGATCTGCGATGTCGGCGTAAACCGGTTTAGCGTGCTCGCGTACGCGCGCCAGGAAGCACGCTTTGCCTCGCTTACAGTGCACCGAGCAAAAGCTCTCGCTTCCTTAAAGGCTATGAGATTTTCTACACTGCTCCTGGCGTCAAAGGCCCGAGGCGCACGTTTACGCACCCGGATGGCGCTCCGACACTCTTCCGTCCACCACGGAACAGGAGTACGTCGGGGAGCGCCAGACGTGCGTGGGATACGACTGTTGGCACACTAAAAGTCTGTGAGTAAAATCCTCAATAGAGGGTACCGTCCTCTCAGGCTTTGTTACAAACGATTCGTTGTTGTTGTTAATTGGTGTTTTAGGGCGCGCCGACTGCGGTGGTCATTTGGCGCCCACACAAACGATTCGTCGAGCCGAGTCTCAAATTCGCACCAGTCCGCTTTCTTAAAATTTCAGCGTTGTGGTCTAACACTCAACGCTCCACCTCTCTTAAACCGGACCCACACTGGGAAGTGGTCACTTCCCATGGGGTCATCTCCGACACTCCACTCGAGGTGTTGGACAAGCTGGGGACTGGAGAGGCTTAAGTCTAGCGCTGACGTCTGACCGGACGGCATTGTAAAATGCGTACGAGTTACTGTGTTTAAAATCCATAGTGAAGCACCGTGGATACAATTCTCACACAGCCTCCCACGAGCATTGGTAACGTCACATCCCCATGCGGTGTGATGCACATTAAAATCGCCTAGAAGAAGAAGTGGTGGAGGCAGTTCAGCCAGCAGGCATCTAAGGTGCACCAACGGAAAAGCGATGCCTGGTGGAAGGCAAAGTGAACAAACAGTGATGTGATGATGGTTTAAATAAAGCCGCACGGCCACAAACTGAAGTGTGGACCGCAAGCTTAACCTCTTCGCTGGCACGCTATGATGAACTGCCAGGAGGACGCCACCCTGAGCAGTGCTCTCCGTCAACACGTCGTTGTGAAAGATCGCATATCCTTTCAAAGAGCAGAAATGCTCGGGGGCTAGCTTGGTCTCCTGCAGTGCCGCGGCTGCAGGAGAGACCCTGCTGACGACAGCGTCGAGATCGAGGGCGTTCGCCCTTACTCCTCTACAGTTCCACTGTAAAAACGCTTGTAAAAGGGTGCATTAAAAAAGCGATAAGATGTGAAAAGCCAAAACAAGTCCCGGCTGAAAGGAACTCGGCTGCGCCAGTTGTATGTCCAGACGCCTCAGACCGAGAGCCACGGCTTAACTCTGGGGGGTCTGGGGGGCCGTGCCCCACCCTGGGACGAATTCTTGGGCTCCGTCCGTCAAATGGAGAAGGGGTGGGGCACGCTTTACGCCAGCATACCCAGTCCGGGGTGGAGGCGGAAGAGGGCCCATCGGTGGGCCTCTACCGGGGTTCGAGGGACCAGCGGGGGCCCCCACCGACTTCCGTGGCGATGGAGTGCTGTTTCGGGGGACGGGTTCTTTGCCTGCCCCGGACAGACGGCTTGCCGCCTTAGCGCGCTCCAGTTCGGTCAAGCGCGCTTGCTTGGCCTCGCGAGCGCGCCTATCAACTTCCTGACGCTCCAGCGTCTCTGCCACACGCTCACAGGCACTGGCAGGAGGTGTATGTAGGGAAGGGACCGGTTGGGTCGCAGACGAAGGCACGGCCGGCGGCGCGCGGGGACTCCGACCACGCCGAGCCGTCGGCTCGATCGGCGGAGAAGGAGCTTGGAGTGCCGACTGGGAGTCGGGCGTTCGGACCGAGGGAACAACCGACAGGCCAAACGACCTCGGAAGTTCCACGAACTGAGCGGCCGTCATGTGCTCGATGGCATTACTTTGGGGCAACGAAGTTTTCACTTTGGACGCATACGATGTTTTTGGATGACTGTCGTGAAGTTCACGAGCTTCACGAAAAGAGACATTTGTAGAGCTTTTGATCGATATAATCTCTTTTTCTTTCGCGTAGGCCGGGCACGTACGGTTGTACGTCGTGTGTGGGATTTGGTCCTTGCCGCAGTTGACGCAATGGGGTTCGACACAGGTGCAAACTTCGCTCGTGTGCTCGAATGACGTACATTTACCACATGCTGGGCGGTTACGACAGTGGAGCTTGGTATGGCCGAATCGCTGGCACTGGTAGCACCGCATGGGGTAGGCACATAGGGGCGAACCTTCACTCGAGCGTATCCAACACGTATCTCGGCCGGAAAATCGGTGGAACTAAACGACAGAATGAGGTTGTTGGTGGGCAGCAGGACTCTGATGAGAGTCCAGCGAGCGCTCGTCACACCAAACTCTGAGAGCTCTTCGACCATCTCGTCCTCGGCGACGTCACGAAGATCGAAACAATTGAGTACGCCCCCAGATGAATTTTTGGTTTAATGTGATGTTGCTCATATTGACACGGTCCTTTCATGCTTGCCAATCTCATCACGAACAGTATACGTAAATTCATTGGCTGCCATGGCCCTGCTTGCCTCCAGACCACTAGCAAACTCTACTTCTGTTTTCCCATCCCTGAGGTTATCACATCTGGAGATTTTTCCAAACCTGTCGCAGCCATTCCGCCTCTGAAACGGTGAGAGGGAAGCAAGCTTAATCTCATCACTACCGAAGATCAGGATCCGTGGACCGGGAGCACAAATTCTTCTCTGCACCCTGGGGCTATCGAGGTCCGTCCCCTCTCGGAGGACGGATGTTTTTAAGGTGAGAAAAAGCCATAAAGGGTGGTTTTCATTTCGGCACCGGGGCTCCCCACCCATCTCGGAGCCCAACAAGGGGACGGCCAACACTCCCTCGGGAGGTGGTCACCGCCAGGGCTACCCCGGTGCTATACGGGGCGAACGACGCCTCCCACACGGCCAGGTGTAACCGGGGAGACCTCTCCCCGTCCTGACCGTGGTTCAGCGCCACCGCCCCTTGACCCCTTAAGCCGCTGCGCGCGGCCAGGCGTCCCAAGCGGAAACCCGCGAGGAGCACCCAACCGCAACGCGAGCGACAAGCCGCTAGACCCGCGTGGGGCCCCACGGGCCCCCCACGCCCCCGGATATTCTGGCCAAAGTGGAGTGTTGGGACGCGCCGTGACTGACCCACACGACACGCCCCTCAGCCACCAGGATCCGATCAACCCGGGGACGTGGGAGAGGGGGCACGGCGACCCCGATAAAAGGATGAGGAGTGGTGATAGGGCGGGATGCGGGAGTGCGGGTAATGTGGAGGGAGCGGGCGGGACAAGGAGCGCGAGTTCACGTACCGGCAGGGTCGCTACGCCCTGAGAGGAGCAGCTTGCGCTGTCCGCCCGTTACAGGAGCTGGGACCTGGGGGGGCGCTAGTCCCCTACACCGGCCGAAGCCGGTGCCCCTGCGGGGAATCGATGACCTGAAAACGAGGAGTAAATATACAAAATTGGAAAGTTGCGTGCAATAAATTCGTGTCATGCAAGCGAGGTAATGCTAAATTCTCTCATTGAAAAGAACAGATGCTCTGTTCTGAATTACGATGATATGAGAAAGCTTTGATCGAGCTAAAATTTGCAAGGCTGGGTTGACAGCACTACATAATCCGTGAATAACAGCACATTTCGATTAAAACCCGAGACAGGAGTATTATGCAGGCGCGTCATCGGTATATTTGTGAATAGGCGTAACGAAAAGGTCATCCACAACTTTTCACCATGTCAAGCTATCAGATTACTTTCAATTCTAGGCTCAAAGTAAAGGTTCGAAGAGTGGAAACGATCTATCGGCTCAATGCACGTTTTGACTGCACTGCACTGCACGGCAAACTGCACTGCAGTTTAACGAAACCACGTCTCCAATCACTCCACACGTTTCCGCATCAGCTGTAGATTACCTGAGGCAATCACGCGGCTAATACGGCCACCGCACGGTCACTCCACCTGCTGCGAGTGCCCAGTGCTACAACACGGCCACCGTAATGTCGATTTAGCTGAAGATCGCACAGCGAAATTCAGAGTGCCAATTAGCACCGTGTGCGTCATTGGGACCAAAACTGAATGGTGAAGGACTGGATTTCGGTCGATGGTGGAAAGTCCAGCCACAAACCGCGTGCAGCCCAGTGTAGCAGAGCACGGGCTGTGAGTGAACCGCATGACGTTGCCCACCGCTCCTTGGCTCTTCCACCGCACGCGGAATTCCGTGACCTGCGCTCTCACCGACGCCGGCTGGGAATTCCCGCGCCAGCTGACGTCAGCCGCGCAGAGCACGGGCGCCGGACAGCGGCGGCGCGGGGCAGCGCGACGCCTCGGAAGCGCCGCCGGCCGCCCGGCGGCAGCGGGCACGGGGTTTCCAGCCGCGCGGCCCCTGACGGTGAGGTTCGGGCGGCCGGGCAGGTGACCTTGGCGCGCGGGCGCCGGGAGACGGCAGTAGTGCCCGTCCAGCCGCCCGGACCGGCCAGCATGGGGGCGATGGTTGTACTGTGGGCCGTGCTGCTGGCGACCACCACCGCCGCCGATGCCTCGTCACGCCGCGGCGTCGCCAGAGGTGAGGGGTACCGACGACTGAAGCGAGCCTCAGTGTGCCTCGGCCGGCAACCAGGTCCTGGCTGGCTATCGACTTTGTAACCGCTGTCAAGTGGTCAACAGCTTTGTGAGATCCGACGCCGGCTGAAGCGAGGGACAGCAGAACGGCTGACGGCGAATCCAGCTTCGGGTCCGGACCCCGGAGGCCGCCCGACTGCCCGCCTGTTTAAGTCTGAGCTGTAGGGTTGTGACCGTGCGCCGTTGCTTCGGAATCGCCGAACTGAATCTATCCCGACTGAGCGAGAATAGATATTGTGGTTTAGATGTTATCGGTGGCAAAATGTAACCCACTTGGGACCGAGGTACTTAGTAACTGTTGCCTGGGCTGTTTCTAAACATGACGTCGCCGATTGTCAAAAGCTTTGCAGACCTCCAAAACACAACTAAAAACTGAAGGATGAAGAAACCTGGTTCTCCACAATATGCATGTGCCATCAGTGTACGCCAAGAAAGTTTGCAATAGTATTTTATAAAGATCATACAGTCATTGAAAACGACTGTATCATCGTGTCCCTCTATTTCCTTTTTACTCGCCTACGGGGCATAGCGAGAGTTAGAATTGGGGAATGGGGAAAGGAGAATGGCGGGTCCCGGCGGTGAACCACAGGGAGAACCGGACACGGTGATCCTAGTTTATTGTCAGTTGGTGTTAGTTTTGACTCGCCTTTATAACGGACATTTGTTTCTATGATAGTGCTCACTGTTGCCAAATGTCTTCGCTGCCAACCATATGGGACTGAGGCTTAAGTGCCTTGGAGTTATGGCTGCATACTACCCCGGTGAGTTTGACTGCAACGCCACACAATCTTGGATTAACGGGCGTCGGAGCTAGCTCGTAGCCTTGGCAGATCTGGCAGGTGAATCACGGTCCTGCCAACAGTCTGAGAAGTGTTGGTTCTCGAATGCTGGTGGAACAGCATTGAATTGAGACATCCCGTCCAGACACGTGTCCTGACTTGTCATTTTCCCCGCAGGGGATGGGGCAGGAAAACACATTTTCGCTAGTTGGGAGTGTTAAGAAGACAGTTGTATGGGGTCTTGAATCGAAATAGCCATTTTGAAGATCATTCGGTGCAGTTCACAGCCCTCACCCACTTAAGACCAAAAACCCTCTAGTTTGTCAGCTACACACCTGCAAAGGTGCGCAGACTATTTCGTGCAGACTATTCAAGGTCATTCATGCACGCATGACGCCAAAGCAATGTCACTCAAATCCTGTCACTCCATCGACCGCGCGGTGCTCAAGGCCGAAAAGAATATAATCGTAGAGCCGTTCATATCTGGTCTTCATTAGCATGATTCCCATGCATACTGGACGTCAATTGGCTTTCAATTAACGCTACGCAGGCTGCGGAAGTCTCAACCGCGAATCGTATTTTGTGCTACATGATACAAACTTAGATATGGGCACTAGTTATTACAGAAATAAGGCTTGTAATCCAATAACTTGAGAATTACGCTACGATCGAGTACGCGAATACAAGTAAGCATCTTAAACTTACATAAATATGCAAGAACGGCACGAGGAAAAGCGTAAGCACGAGCACATAACCATAATTGGTTCAGCGAACACCTTCGGTACCGCCACGGCCACCTCTCGGGAGATTGAAGTACTAAAAGGGAGTGCTCGGGTGGCAATTTCGCGCGGCTGATTCGGGATCACCTGAACGCCGTAGAAAGGTTCCATAACGCAATCAAGCAATGACGTATTGAGAAGCATGTTTACTTAACACAGCAATTTTGTTTCTGGAGCAGTATATCCCATTCAAAAGTATATCAATAGTTTTAAGTGAGCTTATTTTGTCATGTCTGATGATTGCTTCGTATGTGGAACATTTCTTTTAACGTATGTGCAATGTTTCTATCTGACGGACAACGATATAACGATTCATAGGAAACATCAGCATTGCACAAAAATCACATTCGTAATCGTAGTAAGTACCGATGGCGATACCAGCCGGAATTACGTCACGTAGTCCACCCTTATAATAAAAGGTGTACCACAATTGACTAACCGACAACAAACTACCAATCCGGTGCGGGAAACGTTGTTTGAAAGCTGAGTAAAAAAAGTGTTAACATTCATAGAAGTCACCAGCATGTAAGGAGATGTTGGGAAAATGTAACCCACATTTCCCAACTATGTAAAATGACTATTTTACATAGTTGGGAAAAATAGTATTAATATTTCCCAACTATTTCCCAACTATGAAAATGCCAAAGAAAGTGTTGGGACCTCCAGCGTTGCCTCCAAATCCCTAATAAGCTGCCTTTGGAGTTAAGGTCTATTCCGGATTATCCAAAAAGGCACGGCCGGATCATATCCTCAGTCAACGGTTTGCAAGGAAGGCCAATACGGTTATTCGTCACGCGGCTCCGTCGCGGGCTTCCTCGCAGCGCACCGAGCCATACTCTCAGCGACGAGTTACTAGGAAGACCACACGGCTTACTGTAATTGCGCGAGTTGCGGATTTCCACGATATTCATCCCACAGAGTTCCCCTTACCAAGGTAAACGCCCCTGGTGAGCAACCGCTCGTTGTTGATGACTCATCATTCCTGTCTTACGGAAGGGCTGGACGATGTTCAGCCACGTATGCGGCACACGTACTTGAAGGGAATGTTCCACATATAAAGACCTTGAAGCAAACATCAGGTATAATGAAGTACACTTGCTTATAACTATTGGTGTACTTTTAAGCAGGAAAGACTGCTTTAAACAACAACGTATCCTTATTTAGAAAATATGCTCCTCAATGCCATTATGTGATTGCGTCGCTCGGTAACGCTGGTATGACGCTGCGCTCGGTAACGCTGGTATGACGTTGCAGTGCTGCCAAACTAGCCGTGCTGCCAAACTGCCACTTACTGAAACTTCGGACTTGACTCTCGTCAAGAGATGGTAGCACGGGCTGGACGTATTCGCTGGGCCAGATATCGTTGTGTGCTCATGCTTTGGCCCTGTCTCCGGATGTTCTTGCATATTGATCTGAAAGTTCGTCACGTTTGCTTGTACTTACATACTCGGCTATGGAGTAATTCTTGAGGAACTCGATAACTAGTTTTATTTCCGTAAAAACTAGCGAGTGAAGAAGCCACATCCAACTTCTTACATCATGCAGCACATCACGTGCTCAGTAACTGGAGCTTGCACAGCTTGCTCAGCATTGTTTGATAGTCAATTCAGATCAGCACCTTCCGCCCGTGTAAAGACATCACCAGGCCGGACGACCCACTAGGCAAGCTTCCACTGTCTGGCGCGCAGTCTCCATCTCAGCGGTTCAGCCTACTTCTTTGTCGGACGGAGACCACCCACATCTTGATAGTACGATCGAGCAGTCAGAACGCTTTTCGCAGACATGATCTTTCGCAAGTGTGTGTTACCTACTAAATGGATAACTCCGCGGGATGCCAGTCGGCGCTCGGCCCCAAGTTGTTCGCCTGGTCGCACCTCATCTGAGTCATGCCTAGGATTGATGGAGCTATGGCGTGAGCTGGGCGATGGACACACCCGTAGCTCACAAAGTGATCAGTTAATGCGGCCACTGAGCGCGGCGTTCATGTGTCTCTCAGCCACGGACAGCTCGAGCCATCGCAGATATGCCTCGCACCAAGCCACTCTCAGCGTGGAACACGGCGATGCTGGATCGTAAGCTACATCCACCAGCAGCCGTAGGGGCTTGCGATACTGGCTATCCGGGCGGAGATGCATGGGTGGCCCTCACAAAAGCCTCGCCGGTGCAGCATGGTATCACACCAATGCCAGTCCCGTTAAGCGGCGCCGCCGGCCGCCGGAGCGCCGGAGCGCCGGAGCGCCGGACCGTCGCGGCCTTGGCGCTCCCACTGCGCCCGGACACGTCAACAGCCGCCGGCTCTGGCGGAGGTGCGGCACCAGCGCCTCGCCACGTGCCGTAACCGGGCCCTGTGGACCGCCCGCTGGTCGACGGGAAGTCCGATCAGTCACCGGGACCGTCCCGCCACCGCTGTCGCAGCTGGTGATCTGTATCGGTTGACTGGGGTCACCGGGATGGCGGTGAGACTCAGGGCTGGTAGGCCGGCGGAACTCCCCGTCGCATTAAGCGGTGTTCCGACTGACAACGAAGCTTCTCGGGTAATTCGTTGCATTCTCTGTCTATGCAATACAGTAATCACTCTCTCTTGACCCAATCATCATCGTATGTAATCATCGTATGGCCGTATGTAGTAATCATCGTATGGCCAAAGATTGCAAAACCCTGCTGATGGCCTTGTCGAGTCAAGATGGCTCTCGTCTATGCATGTCGTCCTACATAGCCCTGCATTTCTGCATTTGTCGAGTGGTACTCAGCTCGTTTGGCCCCGCTCCCGTTCGACGCATTGTTCCGTTCAAACCCCGTTCGGCAATATAAAGCAGCCGAACTGAGGAGGTGTCGCCTGTGTTGATGATCGGCACTAATAATAAAGCCGAAATAGCTGGTGGAGAACGGAATAATCCAAGTTTAATTGCACCGGGAATTCACACCGCGGGGCGGACAACTCGACAACTCGCCACGTCCTCGGGCGTCATGCACCGGGAGTTCACACCACGGGACGGACAACTCGACAACTCGCCACGTCCTCGGGTGTCATGAGCCTCATTGTGGGATTACGGTGCGGTCTAGACGCACACGGGACAATGCCCCACAGGTGCAAATGCATACATTAGCTTCCTTTGAGATCTGTGATGTTCACTCTGGCCTATCATCGGCGATGATTAAACAACATATACACACGCACACACGCATACATCCACAAAAGCGCAGAATACCCATGGGTTTCAAGAAAACCTAGGGCGAGTGCAAGAAGATCCAGAGGTTTTGCTAACCGTACAGCAAGTCACCTATGGAACCACTACTAAGCCTAAAGTAATAATCAAAAAATACAATAAAGTACAATTAATATGTAAATAAATAAGCCAATACGCTGAAAAAATGAAACCTGACGTCCTCAATAATAAATAATGTAAAAATACACATGTAGCAAACATATATGCATTAAAGATCACAGCGTACCAATGAAACGCCCCCCCCCCCGTGCAAGCTCGAGCACCCGTGAGAACGCTACCCCCCCCCCCCCCGCCGTGACGGGCCAAGGTCAGCTTAGGCCGCTTGGGCGAACCAGCGATACATTGACGTTTAAGCGTTGTCATTTGGACATAACCGGAACTGACTTGCATTCCTACGACTGCTTCGCTCGTGTGGCACCGGCGGTGGTTAATTGTCACGACTGCTGAGATTGAGCTACGTTGTGCAGTGTGCGGCGGCCCGTCTCCGCAGCAGCCGTGCGCCAGCTCGTCGGCGGCCGTGACTGACCGGGCCGTCCCGTTCCGCAGGACCGAGCAACCCGTGCCAGTTCCACGAGTGCCCGCGAGGCGAGCAGTGCGTGGTGCACGACGTGGTCTGCGAGGCAGGCCCGTGCCCACGCATCGGAGAGTGCCGCCCCATCGACTGCCCTCTGCCGTGTCCGGCCGGCGCCGAGTGTCGGATGGAGGTGGTGCCTTGCGTGCGCGAGCCGTGCCCGCTGCAGCCGCGCTGCCGGCGGGCGCCCGACGCCTGCCGCGGCCGCTGCCTGCCCGACGAACTCTGCATGAGCCACGTGCAGCCGTGCCGGACGCCGCCGTGCCGCGAGCAGCACGTGTGCGTGCCCAGCCACCAGCTGGTAACGGCGCGCCGGCAGCCGGCGGCGCGGGCCGTGCGGGACGCCTGCCCGGCTGACGCCAACCCATGCCGGCCGGCCTCCGCCTGTATGATGACCACCGTGTGCCGCCAGAAGCGCGAGTGCATCACCATACCGGTCTGCGTGGACGACTGCTCTGTGACGTGGTGCGGCCAGGGCCACGTCTGCCGCATGCTAGAGGCGCTGTGCGAGCACGGGCCGTGCCCGCTGAAGCCGACCTGCGTGTCCAGCGAGCCAACCGCAGCGCCGCAGCCGGAGCCGGTACTGGGGCTCGGTCTGCAGCTGGGCCAGCGGTTCGGTAGCGCCGGCAACCGTGACGTCTGTCCACTGGACGACCTACGCAAACTGTCGAGCCCAGCCTTCTGCTCGGACCGGCTGGACCAGTGTCAGCAGCACTCGGATTGTGGTGACAAGCGGCACTGTTGCCAGCGTGGCTGCGGTAACACCTGCCTGCCGACGTGCCGGCGCGGCTGTGCCGCTGGCGAGGAGTGCCGCCTGGTCGAGGTGCGCTGCATCGGCTCCCCTTGCCCCAAGGTAGCGCAGTGTCTGGCGGCCGAGCCGGAGGAGTCGGAGGATACCGTCCTGCCGCCGCTCCGACCGAACGAGGCTAACCGCGAGAGATTCCCGCCCAGGCCCCCGCCCAAGAATCAGCAGCAGCTCCCGGAAGATAAAGTCTCTCGCCCGCCCTTCGGCGACGCCGGTCGTCCCACTACCAGCGTTTCCGTCGCTGGTGCCGGCGACGCTGCAGCCAACGCTCGTCCCGGTGGAGCGTCACGTCCCGGCAGCTTCGGCGGCGGCGGCGGCGGTGTCGGCGGCGGTGCCCGTCCCCCGGCGCGCGCCGGTTCCTGTCCCGTCAACGACCCGCAGGTGCAGTCGGCCATCTGCTTCGACAACGGCTCGGTCGACCAGTGCCGCGAGGACAGCGACTGCCCGAGCTCGACGCGGTGCTGCCTGCACGGCTGCCAGCGCCAGTGCCGCCCCGTGTGTCCCAAGGGCTGCCGGCCCGACCGCGAGTGTAAGCTGCTGCCGGGCCGGCCCGACACGCCGGTCTGCTGGCCCATCCCGCACTGACCGGGCTCCGCGACCGGCGCCGGCCGGCTGGCCCCGTCACTCGCGCCAGCGCCGACGGGCCGCCGCTCTCCTCCGTGACGTGGCACGCGCGATTGGTGCCTCCCCCCCGCCCCAAACACACGACCACGTGACATACGCGACTAGCGCCTCCCCACCCACACGACTATGGCATTTGCGCAGCTGGTCCCCCCGACGGGGCGCGCCAGAGTGCAGGCACGTCAGGCCTGTCCTACGCGGGTCTAGCTGACCGTGACGGGCACCTGCGACCGCCATATCTCTTCTAACCTAGACAGAGCGTTCACGTTACGGCGGTCGTCTGTAGGCCGTTCTAGACGGGATAGTCCCTTCCGACGGTGACGGACCATGGAAGGGGTCGGGTAAATTTGTTCCGAACTCAGAACGGTGTCGGGCAGCGAGCTGCTCGCCTTTGTCCTTTGTTGACATAGTGAGTGAGGAGCCACTCTGTACCATGTGTCTGTATTACATGTTGCCATAATATAGTTATGCCGACAGAACTGTCTGTTTCTGGAAAACGTGCTGATACGGCGACATAAACAAGAGGTGCACTACACAGGCGGAACGTCGATATCCTGCAGCATTTGTACCCTCGCAAGGAATGCATCTGCGATAGCTTTTGATGAGCTTCACCAATAACATGACCCGCTGCATTTACGCGGAGCGATTACAGACGTCGATTACAGACGTCACCTGGTACCATTTGTTTCGCTTCGAGGCAAGTCCGACCCGTCGCTTGCGTGACAAGCGTGGATACAAGAGTCCGTGGAAGGCATCTTGGCGGTCCGTTTGGTCATCATGGGAGGATCACTTATGTCTTTTATGCAAAGCACTTGATTGTGACTCCAAGTTGACAAATCATTCGACTAATTTCCCGCCAATCAGGAGGGAGCGCGACAAAACGATCCTCGTCCGCTGCGCTCATGTTTACACAGACACTTGAGAAGTGCCAGCTGTAGTACCGACATTCACACCGCGTGCGTGTTTACCCTGACACTCCAGGAGTGTGGGCTGAAGTATCGGTATTCACACCGCGCTGATGTTTACCCCGACACTCCAGGAGTATGGGCTGACGTACTGGTATTCACACCGCATTGATGTTTACCCAGACACTCCAGGGGTGTGGGCTGACGTACTGGTATTCACACCGCGCTGATGTTTACCCAGACACTCCAGGGGTGTGGGCTGACGTACTGGTATTCACACCGCGCTGATGTTTACCCAGACCCTCCAGGAGTGTTGGCTGAACTACCGGTATTTACACATTCCTGAACGAGCAACGCCAAACATTTGGTATTATCTGCATGTCCGCCGCGCATAGTAGTTCCAATAACCATCGGATGACCCAGTTTCCACCATCCGCCCCTTGTTTACGCGCAGGTCCTGACCCCAAAGGGCATTGGAATGTGGTTGTCAAGCATCCCTGCGAGGTGTTTTGCACCACTGGCGTTACGTAAAGCGACGCCAAATTAAGGCGGTCGCGTTAGCTCGGCAGTGACCGGTCGGGCAGCGGGAGTCCTCTCCGCTGTCAACAGTGGCAGCGGGAGTCCTTCCCGCTGTCAACAGTGGCCCGCTGGACTGGAAATGGACAGAGGCAGTCCTCCCTCACCTTGATGTTGCCGCGCTTGGAACTCACAAGCCTAGATTTTAGTATCTACACCAATACTCGCGTATGCGTACATGCGTGTGCTCGTATGCATGTATGTATGCTTACGAGCGTGTATGCAGGCACATAGCCATGCACGCGTGCATGTGGCGATGCCGACTAGTTAACACACATCGTCACCAGGTGGAACGTGATCCTACAGCCAAAGAACGCTTCAAATCCGATTATGTTCAACGCCATCATAAACGTTGCGCCTAGGTCTAGACGGGCGTCAATCCCAAGAGAACGGCCAGCGGAAAGGAGCGGCCGCAGACCAGTAACTCCGTCCTATCCCTGGCAGCCAATGGTCGGCCTGTACCATCACGCCTAGAGCAGCCCAGCCGTGAGCGCTTTGCTGCGAGGATGCCACGACACATCGCAAAACCGGTCCCGACAAAGCTAATCGGGCTCATAAATATTTATGCGCACGGCAAGGCTGGCCGTGCTCGCGGCGAATATTTTAGAAAACCGCGACATCGCGAGGGAACCTTGAGGGCAAAGGGGTCAATCAGACTACCGATGGCAGCGATAATGTCGAATAACGCATGTCGTCTATGAAATACCTAAAGGCGTCATAAGGCGTTTTGTGTTGACTCGGAACCCACCTGGCTATGGCAACTTACCTTCGCCCCACCCCCCGCAATGACATAAGTTGATGACACATGGATGCGTTAAATGTGAGCAAACTGTTATCTCAATCAAAGTCACAAAACCGGGTTCAATTGGACAATCCCGCGAGTAACTCTCGCTAGGTGCCTCTGCGTGATAAGTTCCCAAACTTCACTGCAGAACATGGTGATGACGTCACTGTTTCAAGACTTTTCCACTCATGCATAAGAGAACCATGGCCACTGCTGCTACGGGAGTATGCTATCTGCTATGGAAAAGATGACATAACACACAGTACATAAGAAAGCGTAGCATGACATACGACACATGCGTTCCATTTTCAGGAGAGGCACGTGCATGAAGCAACGCCAAGATTTTCTTGAGGGAAAGAGCGGACCTCATTGAGAACTCACCGCGCCGATTTTCACCGTTTTGTTAGGCCATTCAAGGTGCTAAGATAAAATGCGGGTTTAAGGGGTTTCCCCCTTTGGCGGCGCCCATGGACACGTGTGACGACGTGGAACTATTACGTCACCGCAACGTTTTTTAAGGGGAATCTACCAGTGAAATTACCGACATAGCTTCCAACAAGTTTCCTTTTTACCTTTTGTTTTCTTCGCGAGAATATCGCGCCGTCCTTCTCCTTTCTTCATGGAGTCCTGTGGCATGAGATACAGCACCCCGCCATTCTTGCTCCCCACAGAACACGCTTAGGTAAGTACTGGCCGCAGCAGACGTCAGACGTAACTTAGAAGATCCATTGGTAAAGCCAAGGCCGTGAGTGAGTCACGACTAACGTGGCCAATGAGGATGTGGATTAAACACAAATATTTCTTGAGTATCATTTTGGCCTATCTATTCGTCTTCAATGTCAGGTGCCTTTTCAGGTCATGGAGCTCCTGCCTTGAGTGACATGCATTATATGGGGCAAGCTGGACGGGTGGTGTTGGTCAGTTTTTGCACGTAGCGTCATCTACAATAAGTTGAGCTAGACTTTCCATGAAAGCCCTCACTTCCCTGGGCTGGCGTGGGAGGTGACCACAAGAGCCCACCGCAAGAGCCGCCCGCTGCGGGAGCCGGCGGCGGCCCGGAGCGGCGAGCTCGTCGACGGGCCGCCGGTCCGGACTTCCCGACAGCGTCAGCCTCCCCGAAGGGTTGAGGCGCGAGCGGGGCGGGCCGCGCCCGGTCACCGCCGTCCCGGCGCGGCCCAGCGCCAGACCCGGCACCCAGCCATGGCCGGCGCACATAAACACTACGGCAGGACCGGAGCAGGCGCCGCCCCCACCGCCCAAACGGCACTGCGGCAGGACCGGAGCCGGCGCCGACCCCACCGCCCAAACGGCACTGCGGCAGGACCGGAGCTGGCACCGCCCCCACCGCCCAACGGCACTGCGGCAGGACCGGAGTTGCCGCCGTCCCCACCGCCCAACGGCACTGCGGCAGGACCGGAGCTGGCTCCGCCCCCACTGCCCAAACGGCACTGCGGCAGGACCGGAGCTGGCGCCGACGCCACCGCCAACGGATAAGCAACGCGCCGCGCGGCAGGCCAAGGCGGCGGCGACATTTCCGCACTTTGGAGTCCAACTTCGGCAGCAGCGATAACGTGCGCGAAGTGATGAGGTTTTTACATGGCAATACGCGAGACAGTGAAATGCATGAAGATGTTCCAGATAGCATGTTCGGCTACACGTGGTGTCATTCACAACCAAAGAGTGCAGTCATACAACGTTATGTAACAGAGCATATGCCCGACCAAAGAAAAACCTATAAACCGTAGCTTCAAAACATAGGCTCCTATTGGCTATAAACTGAAGACGTTGAATGTTATTTAGTAGAGGCATTTCAACTTGATGATCAGGAAGATAAAGTGTTTGCAGTATTATTAAACGTGCTTGGCTTGCATGCATCTGGACAGGGCTCTACAACTGCGCAGCTTACGGCCGTCGGCCTCAGCAAAGTCAGCTCACACGTGCTACAATACTCACACCATACATTGATTAGAACAAATAACCACACACAAACCACAAACCTCCACACAAACCACTCGCTTTCAGCAAGGCTTTCAACCGATGGGGAGACCCATCCGACCAAGCACGTTCCGCAGTCTACCACCGTTGTCATTCGGATATGACCGCCGCCCAGGCTCTGCGTTCCGGCTCTGTCGCGCCGTCCTGGTTCTGTTGGACCATCAGGCTCTGCCAGACCGTCCCGACTCGGGAAGGCAGTCCCGTGTCGGACCGTCCCGGCTCTGCCGGACCGTCCCGGCTATGTTGGACCGTCCCGGCCCTGTTGGACCGTCCCGGCTCTGTCAGACCGTCCCCGTCCCGGCTCTGTTGGACCGTCCCGGCTCTGTCGGACCGTCCCGGCTCTGTTGGACCGTCCCGGCTCTGTCAGACCGTCCCGGCTCTGTTGGACCGTCCCGGCTCTGTTGGACCGTCCCGGCTCTGTCAGACCGTCCCGGCTCTATCAGACCGTACTGTGGGCGACGGCGATCGCCAGCGGCGCCGTACCGCCCCCTCCCCCCCCCCTTCAAGCTGAGCTACGGCCGAGGCCGACCGGTCCTAGACACACTCTCTTGACGTCCCCCAAATCTGCTCTGGCGTGGTGCATCCTGACAAGGGCTGGAGTGGAGGTCAGAGTCGGGGCCCGGCGTCTGGCCATGGGCGGCTGGCCCCAGGCGTCTGGCCAAGGGCACAAGCGACTCGGCGTGGTCACTCCAGACACGCAGCTTACACACGTTTGGCATACACCAAACAAACATTGCATTCTTCTTCTTGGCCACTTGGTTCGGTTCAGCGTCCCTGCACATCTCAATACGCCGCACTCAAACCCGATCAACCAAAACAACACAGCAGGAATGCACTACAGCTGGAGCTCCTGGCGGTATTCCGTGTCGGGTCGTCTCGCGCCTCGGTGCAGTCCTGAGCACCCGAGGGACCTGACAAAAACCCAACCGGATTTCCTACCAGCTATAGCTCAACGTCCACGGTAAGTACGGACCTGTTACAGCATGACTCAACTGTAATGGCATCTTAGCTCAATCTAATGGCGCGGATCTGGACAGGCCGAAGGAGCCTGACGACGACCCGCCTTTTTGGCCGCTAGCAGAGATGTGACAACCTGACACGAAAATGCTCTTTAGCTGGCAGCGAACGTAACGCCATTAGACGTGGCGTAACAGTTGTGGCAGCCGTGTCGTAGTGCTGCCCGGCGCGCAGAATCGTCCGCAGTTCTGCCCTGATAAA